AGGAGCTAACAGCACTGGCTGGCAACATAGCTTCTCATTAAAGCCAGTAGAATGTATTATTCATGTTTTTCACTTTATTAAATGTATGTTTCGCCCACATAATAAAGCCAACATGAGGAATGGATTACATCTGCATGTTGGGCTGGTTATTTAACTGTCTGCTTCCCAGCTCAAGTGATTTAATAATAGATAGTTTATCTGGTTTCTGTAGAAAAAAAGATATTGCACAGTTTTAAACTAGTGAAATTAGGATAGTCCAAATCTAAAACCATGAAAGTGAGCAACAACTGATTCCATTTGTTTATGGACCGAATTGCTCATTTCAAATATTTTTTATACATTTATCTTCAATGCTCTGTCTGCCAAATAGAAAAAGGTTATAATAATACAACTCAATTTACATAGCAAATTCCATACATTATGCCTCAAAAAATATGCAAAATGCCTTAAAAAAAAGACAGCAACAGACAAAAGAAATAAATAGGGTAAAATATAATTATAATAATAATATTAAGTTTCATGTTAAAAGCAAGTTTGCAAAAGATGAGCTTCAAGTTTTCCTCTCCTTTATTTTCCTGTAAAGTGCATTGTATTTAGACTATAATCACTGATGAACTCTGAGACCTTTGGTTCATTCTGTTGTCGTATTTACAGTCAGTTTGCTTGATGCAGGCTGGAGGAGCAGGTCATGAGTGTTTTCTGCCAGGAGCTGCAGCTGTTGTGCACAGTGTAGCAGACGGACTAACAGTGTACAGTATGAGTCACCGGTCACCTACAGTACATGGCTGGCTCTCCCTGACATTCCAGGATGCAGGCAGCTATAGGCTGCACATAAGGGAGCCTCTTGAGAATGTTTTCAGGCCCCTTTTCACTGACCAGATGAGAGCAGATGTATACCTGCATCAAGCAAATCTTAGTATGCTGAAAGTTTGCAATTATTGGGCTTTTTCATTTAAAAAGGATGCGATTGTTATTTTATTCTTATCCGTTTTCTTCTTTTTAAAGCGCATCGTATCATATATGTATGTATATATATATATATATATATATATATACAGTATACTAGTTTCAGGTTACATCCCTGTTTGTCCAGAATTATATAAAATACTGACCATTTGTGTGAAATTTTGTCATAATTGCTGTGTGAAGTCTCGAATTATGGCAAAAAAGTGTTTTGTGAGGTCACACTGACCTTGACCTTTTACCTTTGACCACCAAATTTTGATCAGTTCATCCTTGAATCCAAGTGAATGTTTCTGCCAAGGGATTCCCTTGAGGAGTTCCGGAGATATTGCGTTCACAAGGCCAAAATTTGTTTTGTGAAGTCACCGTGACTTTGACCTTTGACCTTTAAACACGAAAAGCTAATCAGTTCATCTTTGATTCTAGGTGAACGTTTGTACCAAATTTGAAGAAATTCCTTCAAGGATGCATGGACAGACAACCCGAAAAACATAGTGCCTCCAGCTCTGGCTAACACCGGCGCTGAGGCATAAAATAAAAACTAGAACATACATATAAAGAATATCTTCATAAATATCTAATTTTGGGAAAAAATGCATTACTGTATTTATAACGTGTTCAGATCAAATTACCTACTGGGATCAAGTTCCTGTTCTCAGACTCCTGGCAGTGCTGATCAACAAACCTGGTCCTGAGCATCAGCACGTTTGGACAGTGTGTAACAGTCAGTAAAGCTCTTGGCTGGCCCGCAATATCACTAGGAATCACAGATTGCTATTATAGCATGTTCTTAGTTTCCATTACTTAAAAACTTTGACCTTTGACCTATTGCATAAAGCATTTAACTGGGTAAAAAATGCTGCTACATGCCCGCCGGAGATCATGTGCTAATGTTCAGGCAAGAGTAGTTGGCTGCCTCTGGTTGACTTGTTGCCCAAAACTGTGGCGCAAGATGCCAAGATTAACTGGGCAGGAGGCCGATGAGCTAATGGTTGAAGAGTTACAAGCTTGTTGCTTTGAGGGTCAGTTGAACAGTGATGTTCACAGGGATGTTGACACTTGTTCCAACAAACCCCTGACATTGTAACCAATTACCAGGTAGTGTGTGGATTCCAGCGTACTAACAGCTACAGTTTACTTGATAACGTTACATAAAGAGTACAGTCCGTAGAAGTAGTCTGTCAGCAGTAGAAACAACAGCCCTGTTGTAGAAATTAAGAATTCTCTTCTGCTTTGTATGAATAGCTTTTCATGAGCCAAGAAAAACAGTCCTGTTTTCAGCTTTGTGATGGTGGCGTTTTCAGATTGTCCAGTGGGGTTTTGAATGTTTTAGTTGGCTTTAAAAGTATGATCATTTCTTAACCCATAAAGAAACTTAATCCTTTAGTTTATCTCAAAAAATCCTGACATTTGGAAAAGTGTGGTTCGCAACTAACATTTTGATCCAAATTAGTTATTGCATTTTCAAAAATCCATCCTTTCTTGTTAAGTAAATGACCTCTGGCTTTGTTCATGGCTGCATTTTTTTAAATTATTATTTTCATTAGGGAACAAACAGTGGAGAGGTGACAGGAAATGAAAAGAGAGGGGAGATGAAAACACAGCTCCCCTGTGGACACACACTTCCATCCAGTCAGGCAGGTTTGCAGCATCTGAAGCCTTCCCTGATTTGAATAAGAGGGGCTGCCGTTTCAGCCAATCAGAGTCCAGCTGTCTACCCATGAGGACAAGTCTTCACATTCATCCAAAAACGAAGCTTTAGCTATATGAGAAGCCTCAGTGGCACTGAGGAAAGCTAATATAGGCTGTTTAATTCAGTGTTGCTCTTCCTCTTCCTCCTCTATACACACACACACACACACACACACACACACACACACACACACATACACACACACAAACATATACACACCAGACGTTGCTCCCACAGCAGACCATCTGGCTTCATGAGCTTTTGCTCTTCCATGAACATGGTAACATTTTCTTTGAAAAGCAGTGACTACATTTGTTTTCCCACATACTGCTGCTGCAGTTCTTATCCAGGCGTTCTCGCCTTTGCGAGGGAAGGACTCTGCTGTGGTGACGAGGAACTAATGAAGAGCAGAGGGAGTCAGACATTTACAGATTTATATGTCATTGCCAGCAGAGAGAAAGTGGACAAGCAATAACTCCTCCACAAAGTTTGGAAACAACAAAATGTCTTAAATTTACTGGACTTCCAAGACTTATTTTCCAGGATTACTTCTAGGAATATCACATGACGTCGCACATGTTCAGATTCACAAATACAAGTCGGAGCATCCACTATGGCCTTGTTGATGCAAAAGACCAATATATTGTACTGACTTTAGGGAGGCTTGTAGCAGATCTTGATGTGTTTGAATCACTGACAGGAAAAGAGACAGTTCTCAAGAGTTAGATACATACAGGATTTGTAGCTCTTTTTTTGGTCTTTTTTGTCCACCACCAACACAAAGTCATGAGGTAGTGTTTCCACAGTGACCACAGTGAGAAAGATAAGATGGATGTTCACATGATGTTTTACTTTACTATTGTGCAAGCTGGAACCAGTTTCCTCAGCTCTTATTATTACTCTTTCCTCACCTCTCTTATACACAGTTGATTTCAGGGCACATTGATACAGATGTTTGCATTCAATCTTCTCCACTGTTGTTCGAGAAATGTAAGCATATAAGGGATATGAGGTATAATGTCAGTGATACTTTGTGGGTGAGGTCAAATAGTTCATAGTGATGAATAAAGAATGTTAAAAGTTTTGTCAACCAAAGGGAACCAATGGTATATCCTACCAATAGTCTGAAGATCATGAAATGCTGATTTGTGATTGATGATTTGTAGAGAATATAAATAGCAGACATACAATGATGGAATATTTCAGTGTTAAAGGGTAAAACATTGCCAGCTGCATTTTGTTTGCTTCCTTCATGATTAGAAGAAAAAACAAGTAGAAAAATGTGATTACGTATCATTATTCTTTTCAGTATCCCAATTCTGGAAACAACACTTACAGACGAGAAAAACATTTTTCTTCAGAAGATTTAATAATTCGATTTGATACATTCAGATCAAAACAGCTGTCAGCTGAGGGGCAGATTGGCCTTTCAAGTGTCAACCAACTAAAATAATCCAAATTTAAAGGAACTGAAGCATGAGTTACTCGTCATACTGTTTTTCACTTCATTAACTTCGTCCTGATACCAACTGTTGCTCAGTGCCTTTCCTCCCTTTCCGCAGTCGAGTTGGAATCTCTTCCAGAGGAACTAATCCACAAACTCAAAGAATCAGAGATACATGTTTTTTTTTCACAGCCATACTTTGGATTGGTTCGGTGTTATGCAATATGTTTTGAATTTTTAGCAAAGCTGGCTTAGCGACAACAACCAGTTATAATCCGGTACTATTAAAACATGTTGGATGTTAGCTCTAAGTGCCTTCAGATGTTGGCTGATCTACAATGAGGTTTGTGTTAACACAGTTGTAAGCCATGAGGGAGAGTATACAGTATAAATAACAACCTACTTAAAGACACACTGTGGAGCTTTTGACCACAAGTGGCACTACAGAGCAATGTTTTTATGAGCAGGTTCCCTGTTTTCTTGGTATAGATCAGTTCATAGTGTCTGCGCAGGCTATGCAGTGAAAGCAGCACAGCAGCAGCAGTGTCTAACAACTGTTACAGTTATTCACAGTCCTCCAATCAGTGTCTAAACAGGAGCGAGTGAAGCATGAGCTGTTGCCCAGCCTGTGTAGACAGTTGTATTGATTAAATGCATGTTATGTGTACATTTTAATATATTTTTTACCTGCTTTCAAAATCAATGAGCTGCTACAAGTTATTTAAAATCTGATTACACTGATATATAACAGAGACATGTGTAAGCTCTTGGCCAAGACGTTTCTCTCCACGTTTCTCATCCATGAAATGGTGAGTGACAACCTTAACTCCAACACAGGTCCACCATCTATTGACGAGTTACTTATTTAATTATTATGTAAAAGCAACTTGAGCAGTCTGGAAGATTTAAATGTGTAGTTTATCTCTTTATTAAACCATCCTGGGCTCTTTCTTTATACATACATATGCACTCAACAGCTGGCATGGAGACCAATTTGATCGATCGTTCCAAAGCCTTTTGCATAAAATCACAAAACGCTTCATTTATAAAAATACAGATGACAATGGAAGCCTGGCAAAAATATATTACAGCTTAATATACATATATATAAATGTACATTCAATAAATACAATATGAAGTATTCTTGAGATGTATTATGGCTATCATGTAGGCCAGTCCATCACAAATTTCACTTTTATTTTTTAAGCAATTTTTGAAATTTGACCTTTCAAAATAAGGGCATATTGTAGACTGAGCTTAGTCAGTGAGGTAAACTATTTAATTTTTCAACTATTGACCCATTCATGAAGTTTTCAGGCAAACTTAGCCTTTACTGGATCATGAAAAAAATGACCAAAACTAAAGAATGCATGTCCCTGCTGGACTGCACCCTCAATGACCTTAACATCTAATATGGCTGCAGGGGACGACGAGCTTTTTAAAGTGACCAGTGACACAATAACCAAGATGCAATCAAAGAACAAGCAAGGCTTCAAGAGATCAGATATTAACACAGAACTCATATTCAAAAATATATATATATATATATATTGATTAAAAAAGGTATGTACAATGACCACTGTGATTCTCCATTCAGCAGATAGTAAATATTTCTTTGGTCCCTGTTGATTGTTGGCAATTAGTGGTTAGGTAAAGACAAACATTAGGGACAAAGTGATCATTTTGCACATTTAAAAAAACAAACAAAAAACAAAAAGATGTGCCTAAACTATGCCTGTCAATCTGAATCATTTTTACATTAACAATAATCCAAGTTCACATAAGTAAAGAAAACACACCAGTCCAGGATTTCAAATTACATTAAAATCAGTATAAACAGTACATGTAGGCTACAAAAGCATAAATGAATGATTACAAATATATGCAGCAAAAGTTACTGTGAATTTGTAAAACTGGGAGCACATCATCACAAAGAAGCCTGAAACATTTTTCAGCAGCAGAGAGAGCGTTCAGAGACAGGAGAGAGCTTATGAACAGACTGATTTCCAGCACTGTCATTGAGGTTGTGTTGGTTGCACTGGGAGTTGAGGAAAAACAGGAAGAATCAGAAAAAAAACGCAGCAGTCACTATATATGTCCAGTTACTTGCAGAGGCCTTCCCAGTGTTGCTGTGTGCTGTCCATCTTTGGGTATGTATGTAGAGATGGATAGTGTGCATGATGTGGGTGTGTGGTCAAGTGCAACTTCAAGCATCGTTCTGCCCAAAAAGACTGCCCTGCATTTTCAGCTTGTGCATCCTGGAAAGGAAAACAAAAGAGAACAGTGAACGGGAGAACTCCTGCTTCTTATGGTACACAACAAGGCTCATTTTTTAGGTGGCCCATCCAGACTCCATTTAGAAGAAGCTACTTCTTAACTTACAATTTCTCTTTACGGCTCATCTTGTCCTCTTTTGACTTGACAAAGACTGCATCTTCTCCTCCCCTGACAAGGTAGGCAAACTCTCCTTCCTTTGGACTGAAGATCACCCTGGAGTTCCACAGGAAAACAATTGTTGTGAATGTCATTTATAAAAAAAATCACTGGAAATACATAAATATCACCAGGTCTATTCTGTGTCTCTGTGTTGCTGACAGCTTACTTGGACTGAGTCTCCCCAGACTTGATGCGCAGTTTCCGGATGTGGAACTTGCTGCTGCCCCACCAGTTGGACCAGCTGATGATCGTGTCCTTCTCCCAGCGCATCTTCACGATCATCAAGTCTCCGATGTCGACGTCGGTGGTGATGAGGAAGGACAAAGTGCTGTTACCGTTCAGGACTGGCCTGCAGGGTGAAAGGAAATGTGATGTTCAAAGGTCAGCCGCTCAGATTAAAGGCATCCTTGGCATGTGTGCATGTGTGTGTCAGCATACATGTTCGTGACGTAAATAGCATGAGAACCTTTAAGGTTTGTTTAGAGTCGGGAATGGTTTGAAACACCATGTTGACTATCTCTTTGCTTTTTCTTGTAATTTGCACATGCATGTGTGTGTGTGTGTGTGTGTGTGTGTTTCTGGTGTTAAAACGGTTTGGTGTACATACAGGACGGAGGAAATGTCATTCTTCTCTCCATGGGTTCCATACAGGGAAATCTTCATTGGCTGCTCTGTGAAGCTCAGCCGGTCCTTACTGAAGAAATGAACCTTCACTTGGTAATGGAAAACTGTGAGAGGGGAGGAAGCAGAAAGTTTACTGAGGGTCAGTTTTACACTTTAGACACTTTCTCACAGCTTGACAGGTTCCCAGCAACTGGTCCATGTTTCTCATAACACGACTTAAAGTTAGTTCAACACTAGAAAAAGCCGTTATGTAACCTTGATCTTTCTCTGTCCTCATGTGACAGTCATAGTGCTGCATTTAAACAAAATCCTCCCCGGTTTCATTTACACACGATCGTATATGACTATATAAGTGTGTACTAAACATACTAAGCTTTCAATACAAATTTGCATCTCTAAAATATTATCATCTCGCTGTGCAACAATAATACTGTTGACTTGTTCCAAAATCTTAAATAAACTTTTCCATTGACGGTGCATTACATATAGCGGTGTCGCATTACCTTAGCATACCCCCCCCGGCCACTAAAATACCCATGACCTCCTGTTCATGTGACCTCCTGAGTGCTTGCTACTTGTTGTACACATGTGCTGTACACATGAAGTGTTACCCTGTCCACAAATCGTGTGTGGTCTATTTGTAACAACACTAACTGTACTAATATTAATTCCATCTCCGAGCAGTCACATCCAGACTAAGCACATTCAGCAACAGTAGCTCACACACTGGGGATTACTCCAGTTAATGTATGTGCATTAATCAACTCAACTCTCACTCATCCTCAGTAAAGTACATGACTTAATCCAGAACAAAACCTACAAATTCTCCCTTACCTAAATATTACTGAGAGATACAATATTCCTTTTAGGTACTACATGTCCTTTTTCCTTGGTATTTACCTTTGTATGGCATCATGTCACGAGTCTTGAGGTACATCTTCGTGCTGCGGGCCGTGCGGACCTTGTTGATGTTGTAGCCGAGCTTGTTGCAGCGATTCTTCCTGCAGTTGAGGCACAGTCCTTTGTTAAAGGCCTCTTTGGAGTTGCAGCGGTACGCCATGCTCTGCTGCTGGGTGTTCAGCAGAGAGTCGATAAACAGGTGGATGGAGCGCTCGTGGGAGCATTTGACGAGCTGGTCCATGTCTGCAACACACACACACAGAGCAAAGACTTTATGAAAGCTCCTCATCTATTCCCAGGGAATGCTACGCAGAGAAAATGTCTTCCTCATTTGTGGCTCTTTCTGACTCTTCACATGTCAGCCACCACTGAACGCTGACTCAGATGGTTTTTCTCACTTAGTTCGGCCTCGCTCAGTTAAAGAACTTAGCAAAAGCTAAGAAGCAGTGAACCAGCAAAACAACATGCAAGGCCTTTCATCTCTACGTATAAAAGAACATGTCTGTGACATACTGTGAATCCGTAGCTGTTATGACTGGAGGCAAGCATATTGTAATTGTAGCCCCTGAGAGCTTTTATGGAGTCAAAAGTGTCTGTACACTTGAACATGAACCTGTCTTGATGATTCACAACACTGTTGTTACAAAATGTTCACTTTAATGTGGGCTGAGTTGTGTATTTATGGTGCAGTGTGTCACACAGAGGAGGTGGAGAAGATTGATACCACCAGGTTTGAGCAGATGGAGTAACAGGGTCTCCCTAAATTTAACTCTTGTAGCGTGGTGACACTTTTATAATAAGGGCAGATGCTTGCCAACACAGAGGCAGTGGACTGTGTGGACTTCATACTGACTGTATTACCCTACCGCCAAAGTGACTGAGTGCTAACAAACCACAGCATTTGCACTGTATAAATTAAAACCTGAGCAAAGCCTCTAAAACTAATTACAAACAGCAGGGAGGGTTTGTGGTACATACTTTGAAGTCCCTTGATCCCTTCCAATGCAATCCCTAGCAAGGTATTCTGGATGTCGCAGCCAGGCTGGAAGGTGCCTCCGTTGGGGTAAATGTCGATGTGGCCCACAGGCCTCTGGATGCCGATGCTGCGGTCTGGGGAGCCCCTGGTGTTGGTGTGCAGGACGTCCACAAACTGGGCATCGTCTCGGGACAGGGTGCTCTGGTCATCTGCGTGCTCAAAGGTGGGACCAGCCGGATCCAGACCTGGGTAGAAAGAGGGGAATGGATGGTGTGGATTAAAAACGGTACATTTAATCATTAGAGTATGTGTTTCATTTGGACTCTTTCTGCCGTGTGCAGCTCTGCAGACTCACTGCAGCTCAGAAAAATGTGAAGCAGAGACTGTGGGCTCTTAATGGGCTACTGCTCTCACAGTAAACACACCATTATTCTAAGCAGGTCAGAGAGACTTCAAAGCTGGATAAACTTCATTGTGACAAATAGGGAGATTGGACCTACTAACTGACTATGTGCACACATACAATACGGGCCTGGAATGTAACTGGCGACAGATTATATTTCATTGGCGAGCTGTGCTGTTTTCACAAGCTGGGCTGCAAAGAAAAGTGCTCACACATTACGGTACAGTACGGACTGTTCGCATGCATACTTTCATTAGCTGTAGACATATAAAGTCTTTAAAACACGCTACACATGGTCATACTTGGATTGATTTATTTGTAAAGAGCAGGAAACACACTGTGCTCAAGGCAGAATTTAACTTTGATGATTCCTTTACTTAAATCACTTACAATAAACTAATCAATACTAAAAAAAGTTGCACTTAGAGCCGACAATTTTTTGATCATAAATACAGGCTTAAATCAAGTGTTATTATGTGAAAAGTTGCAGGTTTATCTACTGATTAATCAAAACTGAGAGTAACAGTACTTACAGTATCTATCTATGCTCGCCTATGCTTATCTGTAATGTAATGTAAGCAGATGATGATCCATTGGTTAAGTTAAGGTTCGCACCTGTGATCCTGCTGATTTTATGGTCAGTGAGGTCTCCGGCGATTCCAGCCACATGTGCTCCCAGACTGTAACCCAGCAGGTGAATCCTCCCCCAGGGCAACTGCAGCTCTTTCTGGAAGGGAAGAGATGGACGAGATGTGTCAGAAAGCTTGACATGTTGACGTACCTTAGAAATGGTTTAAAGTGAATCCTGCAGACTTGGTGGACGGAATTAAAACCAACAGTGGGCCGAACCTGGCTAAGCTCTGCAGCACTCAAGTTCAAGTCTTAATAGAGTCTGGGACATTATCCAAGGCAAGGATTAATTTGTGTTATTTTATGCTTTGCCAACATTTTGCAAGCTTTAAACTTGGAAGTCACGTAAACAGAGGATGCCAATACACCTTGAAGTTGTTCATATAAAGGCTGTGCTCCACTTAATACTGAGCCTTGTAATGAGAGGCCGCTGTGAGCCACAGACATGGCCATAAAACCCCTTTATGGAGCTTTTACAATCATAACCAGTAGGAAGACATATCCGCTGGGTACAAAAATATTACATCATCAGCTACAGATTCACCAGCTGCTCTAATTTCTTTGCTTTTAACAGGATAATTTGGTTATTCAATTGCAGTAGGTCAAAGGCAACAATCAACAAAGAGGATGTGGGAAATGTGATTCTATCTGTAATCTAGCTGTCAACCAGCTAAAACACTCACCTGTAACCAGGTGACAAACTTGGCGACATCGCGGCCCACTAGTTTGGTGTAGGCTGCAGAGGTCGGGTAGTGCTGGTTGGCACGGGTCAGCCAGTCCACCACAATGACATTGGCAGTGGGCTCTCGCTCGTACAGCGCAGACACCAGCTTGGGCACCCAGCTCTCAAACATCCCTGTTACCTATAGTTAAACACACACACACACACACACACACACACACACACACACACGTGGTCACACACATTTCTAACGTCAGCTGCAAGATGGTGTGATATATTCTGGCCTTAGCCCTCATTCTGTGTCCTGTGGTTGGAGAGCAGCCAGAGTGTCATCAGGTTCACATCTTGTTGCTTGACTGGCTCTAAATCACATTATAGGAGATGCATGGGCTGTTCACACCGCTAACGCACCACTCTCAGTCTGTTTTCTCAGAAATAAAGTGTATTTTGAGAATACTTGCTGTTACATTAACACTTATCTCAGTTTTACTGAATGGATGTTCAGCTGAGCCTGAATCACAACTCTCAATTCACTCTGTCAGTTCTTGGACTTGGTTCATTGTTTATGATCAGTTAGTTGGGTTGTTCCAAATTGTATCAACATAACTCAACCCCTGTTTATTTTATGTTTATGCAACATGCTGTTTTATAAATTTGAAGTTTTTTGTCAACATCATCATTACAGAAACAGATACTGAAGTAATGAAACACCCGCAACACGGACTGATAAAAGCTGCTAATATAGGCTACCTGTATAGATAATTTATGCTGAGTGACATACCGTCCAGCCATGTATCACAACGAAGGTCTGTGTTTCTGAGTTGAATTCACACTCTTTGATGGTTTCTGGCCTTCCGGCCACGATGTAGCACATGTCGTCATCAGGGATGTCTGCCGTGCGCAGGGAGAACTTGGACACAATGTCAGTGTAGTTTGTTAGCCATTCAGCGGTGGGCGGCAGGGGAGAAGTGGAGACTGTGGGGTTTACCGTTACAACACACACAAAGGGAGAGACAGACAGACAGACAGACAGACAGACAGACAGAGAGAGAGAGAGAGTATGCAGTAGGTTATTAAATTGTTGTGGCATGATAGAAATGCAGATGACTGTTGTCTGACCAGGGAAAAGATAAATTTGATAAATTAGATTTTTATTACACAGTCTAATCATGTGCATTCATACAATAATCATGCAGCTGTTGGAAACGCTGATGTTTTGCAGAAAACAAAATAAATTAAACCGTCTTCAATAAAAAACTTACGCATGCAAATTATGAAAACTTGCTCCAGTCAATAATACTAAGCGAGCACTAATCTCACCAGCGTGACTCGCTCAAGCAGCAACAACACTGAGACATAGAGCATGGTTGTGTCGCCCCCTTTTGTCTCCCCTGCATTTTTACTAGTGTAAGTATCTGCATGAAACCACTGTTAATACCTGGGTTTGCTAAACTTGAGATACATGCATTAAAAATGGATTAAAAAAATTCACCTCTAAACTAATCCCATTCTTTCAGGGAGTTCGCTTTAGTAGAAATACAGAAATGAAAAAAAATTAATAAGTCCAAGTGATTTTAAGTGGAGATTGTAATGTTTTTCTAATTCAGCAATAAAACTGATGTTCTTTTATACTGTAGCATTTTAAATAATATGATTTTAAATTGTTTGATTTTTTCATTATTAATGTTTTCTTTTTCCCTCTTGTCTGTCTTCAGACAAAAGGCCCCCAGCAGCGGCTTTTCTTCCTGCTCACATGAGGCTCAATGCTATGAAAACGGATGCAGACCTGCAGACCAGAAAACTTTTCACGGGGTTATTCTCGGTCAACGCGTAACAGCATGCATTAATTAACCTGCTTCCCACTTATGTTGACTTCATTAAAGCTGCCGATATATATTGAAAATAACATCCTGCCAAAAATTTTTTTTTTAAAATGCAATGTTAGCTCAATCTTACCAAACACAGTGTCGGTGGTGGCTTCAGGGACAGAAGAAAAAGTTACAAAGATGTTTCCCAAAATTATCCAAACAGCCAAAAAACTGATATTTTCTTCTCCCATATTATTGAGCCTTTTTTTTTCTAAAAAAATATCCTGAATAAAAAAATCTCTGGGTGTTGGTCGAACAGCTTTATATCCAATCGTTTATTATAACATACAGAGCACCGGTCACAGCGTTGTATAGAGTTGCGGTTAAGGACTGAAGTTTCTTCTTGTGGTCTGTCAATGTTGCCGCTCCAACTCATCTTTATGGGTGGCTCATTTGAATATTCAGACATGATTGGCTGAAGTTTAGAGGGCGGAGTTTAACCTTTGTCCCTGCTTGAATCACCAGGAGAAATCATTCACAATCTTCCTCATAGGGGAGCTGATGCACTGCTGCCCCCAGCACTCTGTACACAGTCTAATGTCAACACTATTATTAGTCTTGATTATCAGCTACGAAGCTCAATGAAGTTGTTAGATTTATAGGAGACTATACAAGAAAGTTGAATTGGACTCTAGACTTTTTTTGTGTGTAAAAATGAATATTTCATGACTTATGTTACCCTGGTATAAAGAACAAAGAAATTATCTGGAATTTATATGTGCAAATCTTTTGTGAAGAGTTCACTTGCGTGATGGAGGTGTTCATTTTCCACCAACCTAAATTGATCACATACTTTCAGGGAGTCCAGTTTTGTGGCCAGAAATGTGAAAAAAAAAATCAAAGTCTAAATGGTTTTAATACAGAGAAATGTCATTAAAAGGAGGTCATGTTTTTACTAATTGAACACCAAAACTGGTGTATTTTTATACTGTAACATTGAAAATGATGTGATTTTATCAGTTTTATTCGTTTTTTTGGTGTTAATATTTTCTGTTTTTTCCTCTTGTCTGTCTTTAGACTAAAGGCCCCTGGCAGTGGCTGTTCTTCCTGCCCACATGGGACTGAATCGTATGAAATGGGATGCAGACCCTGCAGACTTTTAATGACCAGCCTCTTGTCTTTCAGCCATCTTTCTCTTCCCAGGGTCAGAAGTGAAATAAATTGATTGGCTTTCTTATCCCTCTAAATATAATAGTAATAATACACTTTTTATGTGTAGCCCTTTTCTTAACACAGTTACAAAGTGCTTTACAAGGAAGTGAAATGAACAAAGAATCAAAAAGGAAATGAAAATAAAAACAAGAAATTGAATCATTGTGAGCGGTCTGCTTTGTTAATCCAACATGAAAGACAGATCACATATCACTGATGTTTATTATACCTTAGTTAAATCTGAGTTGATTTTATTGATGGTGTGGCCTGAAAAGCCCGGACAGAGGCAGCTGCTTCTTATGGCATGGAGAATATCCAGGATATCTCAGAAAGATCTTCTGAGCGGTGTGGGTGTGTTACATAGCCCCCCACTCTCATTGGTGGAGCCCTGTTTATATCCAGTCTATGGTCGAGCCGTCTATATTTTGGAAACCGTGACAAAGCACAAAAGGATGACAAATGACCTCAATTTCTTGTCCCTTGCCCTCAAATCGCATGAAGACATAAAACCTTGAAAAGAGAGAAAAGCACATTCCTGGCCCATGTCATGCCATGTAAAACAAAAACAAGATGTTTAGAGACATAGAGCACACTTTACGGTGGCGGTTAAACCTACAGTATTTGTGGGGACATACAACAAGCTCAAAAAAATCCAGCTATGAGGAGGATAAGAGCGGGCCTGAGAGAAATGCCACAAACATTTGATGAAGGTGGAAAAACACGGACACGACCAGAAAGATTTGTTATAAATACATAACATAATAAATAATGTAATGTTTCATGCTTCATGTCGTATGGGCTTTGCATGAATAAATGAATATTTAGTATATTCCCTTTGTTTGCCAAAAGGTAATTCACAGACAAACAAATGTTATCCTATCTTAGCCCACATTACTACATTAGTTATCTTGGGGGGCAGTTAGACCCCAGGGAGGTCTATCTCCTTTATAAACAAATTGTTACACTACTAGTTATAAAGTATCACAATGTTAACTATGATTTTTAAGCTGTTTCAGAGGGCCGATAGTCTCCAGGGCCCAAGACAAAACATTTAGTTTAATGCAAAGATGGGACGAATAAGACAACCTGCAAGTAACTGGTTCACTTTTCTTCATGAAAGACTGACATTTCCTGCATGATTGAACCCTTTTCCTCAGTAATCAACTACTGCTCTATATTTACCTTCTCTAAAAGGTTCTTTTTATCGTACATGTTTGAATATACAGTATGTATACTTATATACATCTACATGTGTTAGGAACGTGATGCTTATGGTCCGACCAGCAGGCCCAACCCAGTGATTACACAGAAGGACAACGCCTTTCCCTCAGCCTGTGATCTCAGTCTTGATCTCTGCATTCACTGCGGTCACTGTGCTTGACCCCGAGGGAGATCCACGGTGATAAACGACAAGGCAGAGATGTTTCAGCATGACTGATGAATATCCTGTATGAGACACACCCAGGCAACATCATCCAAATGATGTTTAGCTTTGTGGAAGATGAGTTTTGTGTTTGTTTGTTAGTTTTTTTTTCTTGTGGTGGTTTCGGTCTGAATACAGATCTGACATGTTCCAGTTAGTTTGGCGTCTGACCCTGAGAACCTGCTGAGGAAATTAAAAGATCACTGCAGAGAGAACATAGATTTCCTGCTGGGGAGGAATTCCTTCACTTTCCTGTTGCTGCTTTTTCTTCTGAAGTCTTGTGAACCTAAAATGCTGCACATTTGTTTTAAATTTCTCTGTTTGCATTACTGGCAGAGCATCTTGTAGCCTGGAGCATGTGCAGAGCCACACGGTCCACTTCACGAGTCTACTGGATGTTTTCGGGTCCATGTGTCGTTTTGACTAATTGCAAATATTTGAATAAGCAATAAACACATCCGACATCCGACTGTTTCTTTATCCATTTCACGTCCTGCCTGAGAGTTTACTTGTGTTTACAGGGTCTAAAAGAGCAGACCACTGTAGCAAACACTCTCTCTCTCTGCAGGTGTAGCTGCAGGTGTAACTTAAACCACCAGTCACAACAACATACAGTCAGTCGTGCACACACAAATCCCTAAAAGTGAGACATAAACCTTATGAACACGTGTTTAAGCAGCCTCACAAACACACACTCGCAAACCCCCCGAAATGGTGAAATCCTCGATATAAATGTTCCTTCTGATGACTCACTGAGAGGCCTGATTCTAGGAAAACCGGAGCAGGGGTTTGGTTTCACAGAACGATGCAGCATAAATATTCTTGGCAAGCAAATTTTCAGGGGCCCCCTCTGTTTAACCATGTGTGTACAGTATGTGGCTCGCAACCTAAAGAGTGCGTTTAATGCACAACCAGCAGACGGGAGATGTGACGGCTGATTTTCATGTTTATTGAGTGTTTTCTGGTAACTTCTAAACCTAACATTAGTTGGTTTTTCTCTGTTCCTTAAACTGTATTTCCTGCATGTTGCTGCCTGTGCAAGGCCATCCTCTCGTTGTTTTTCATTACTTCATTGACACGGATCACGTTGTGTTCTCCTTTATCTGGATGTTTCCACCTTCTCTCATTGCCATCTCTGTCCAAATACGACAGGAGCTCTAATAACCTTCAGGAAGCTCTGCTGAAACCTTGAAGCCAGCTGGTGAAAATAACATCGAAGAAATTCTCTTGAATCATGGTTTCACAAGTCATACGATTTTCACATGTGGCATGAGAGCTATATCCAACACTACACTTGATTTTAGCTGTAATTGCCCATTCAGAAATCCCTCGGAGGAAAACCATTTCCAGGGCAGAAAGAAAGAAAGGCGCCTCTGCGGGAGTTGGGTTTTTATGAGTCTCTTAGTAAAGACGCTGTGAGGTCATGAAAGGGTCGCAGAAAGACGGAGAGTGTGTGTGTCTGTCTGTGAGGAAGGCAGTATTTTATTCCTCTATTCAAGGGTGACATGAAGAGGTTGTGTTATACACTTGTGCTGGCAGTTTAACGAGAAAACTAATTGATGCGCATACTGTTTGCAAGTACACGCAATCTGTGCACTGAGCGTGTCTCTTGTTTGTATCCACACTGTGTCAACTGCGTGCACCACTTTCATGAACCTTTCACTCCTCACTTTCCAGTAAGTGAAACACCGGTTAATCTAGAATTCCTGTGGAAGAAAAAAAAATGTTGTGTCTAAAATTTACCTCTGTTGAATTTAGGAGCTAATACATTTTGTTTCCAAACTAACCATTATTTTTTGTTTTATTGCACATGCATGAGCCTTGAATACTTTTTCAGGTGAAATAGCAGATAAAATCACCTCTGGGGCTCCGCTGTGGGCTGTTTTGCTTTTGCAGAGTCTTTTTTCCCCTCTGAGTCGATCTCAGTGAGGAGCATGCATTCCAATATACCACTGCCAATGTATCCTGTATGAGTGCTGGATGTGTGGTCAGGTGATATACATATAGAAATATACTGTATATATATATGAAACCAAACTCTAAGGACAGGTGCCATACCCTAAAGTGGCACTCCTACATAGCCAGTTAAGTAGGCATGTCTGTGTAAATACAGCTACAGTATATGTACACGTATGTGTGTGTGCATGCATGTGGTGTACATACACTACATGCAGACGAATGAGTGCGAATAGCAACTATGTTCCTCCATCAGACTGCAAACTAACAATTCCGTATTAACACTAATATTGTTATATATGTACATTAACACACACACAGACACACACACACACACACACACACACACACACACACACACACACACACACACAGGAACAAATGGGTTGGAGGCTGTGCATCTGTTGCTGTGTGTCAGTTGCTGTCCTTTATACATTGTGTCCAGTACACACATGCATACACACATTTGTCACGGACACAGAGTCCCAGCAGGAATAATTCAAACATAAAGCAAGCATGCATATATCAGTGTGTGTAGATGTGCACACATAAAGACACACACTCTGCAGTGGCTGTGTCTGCTCAGTACAGTTTTGTGCGGGCTTTCTCTCTCACTGAAAGCCACAATACCTTGCTTTAACATTACATAAGCACTCTTGCTCATGTGTGTCAGTGGTTTGTCTGCATGTTATGAGTGGAATGAAGCAGACCAGAATGAGTCCAATGTTCAGTCCATGACAACAGCTGGTCATGGTAGTGGGGGCTAAAGGGAGACTTGGGTTGTTTCGTGTGCAGCAGTCAGCACCAGTCTGGTCTGACTGGACTTTCTCAACTCACTGATGTCCCAATTCAGGAGAAAGAAGAGGTTTCATAACTATTAGATTGCAACTGCACTAGGAGATGCCAGTGTCTGGGTGGCAGCACAGAGAGAGGGTTGCACATGTGGAACTGGACATGTACTTCTGACAATGTGAATTTCCTATTTAAATTCTTTGAATTATTTTGCACCCTGATCTTATTTCAGATATTGGGTAGTTAGTAGTGTACTGTAATTGTTATTTCTACATAGGATTGGCTGATGAGTAAATGAAATTATGAAGTAGTTGATTAAGTTGTTTTGTTCCTTGTGCGACCAGTGACAGAAAATGATGCAGAAAATAAAAAAGATTTATTAAGTGATGGAATTTGTTTACAATGTTTAACATCCCATTTATATCCCCGGATGACAGAAGCCTTATGTTTGACTCTCCACGTGTTTCTCTCCTGAATGAGGTCTTGGACCGTGATGCCCCATCTTGGCTCTGGTCTGTTCTTTGCTCTCTTTTCATCAGTCTGAGCTGGATGTTTTTGGCTGACAAAGGACTTGGCTTGCTTCGCTCCTCTCATGCTGCTGCCCAGCAGCCCGGCATGAAGTCTGGGTGTTCTGCACATACACACTGTGAGAGGCCTATTGTTTCCACACTGATCGGGTCTGTGGTTTTGCCCAAATCCCTTAAAAATCCTGAACAGAAATCTCTTTTAAGGATTACAATAGCATTCTCATAAATTCTCAAAATGTAAAACAAGACCATCACAGTCTGTTTACAGGTCTTAGGGAGGTCCTGTGTGTGACTGGAGTCAGATGATAAGTTTGAAAATGAAAAAAAAAGTTGAGTTCTGAGTTGAGACTGGGCATTCGCCTGTGCTAGCATAACACACCTAGGCTGTCATGTTGCATTATAGGTGATGTAGGTAACAGGTTTTAACAAGGAAAAAAATGACATCGAATACAGAATATTGTTATTTTTCAATACATTTTTCAAATCTTGAGGAGAGCCATTTGACAAATACTTTCTCAAAACACATTTGTGGTGAGGAACACAGCAGACTGTTTACATCTGTGTACCTATCTGCCTCTTTCTCTGCATTTTTCTGTGGCTCACAACGCTGACACTCTGCAGACCTCCTTCTCTCCCCTGCAGGTCAAGCTGTTGCTCTGAGCCTCATTTCTGTTGAAATATAAAAACGGATGTTGTCACAGCTTTGTTTTCTCTCAGCTGTCCAAGGAAGCTCTTGGTGGATCCACCTGTGGTGGTCTCAGGTCCGGAGCCTTGCAGACCGACATATTGAAGAGCTTTTGCACATAAACGTATAGCATCAAACGAAACATGCAGCACAAACATACGACTCTGCCTCAGCTCCCCCGCTGCAGAGTCTCACATTCACATGCACTGCAACTGACTCAGAGATGTGAACCAAGCGTAGTGATGAAATATGGTAGAAGATGTTACTGACAACCTGCTGTGTGATATGATGTGAATTCCACTGTGTTTGTCTGTTTCTCACGTGCAGGGCAGAGGTGTGGCTCTGGCCCCTGCTGTACAGATTAAATTACCTGCTATATGATCACATGTGATCATGAAAGGAAAAAAACATCGTTTGTCTGATACAAAAAATGCAGTCAACTTAACTCACTGCTCAAAAGTTTATAAATCTCTATAAAGATGCAGATTCAGTCTGGTTTTAACTCACTGTCCTAATTATAGGACATTTTTGTGATATACAGTGGCATCAGAAAGTATTTGTTTTGTTGTGTTGTGGATTTAATTTTAAATGGACACAATCTTGGCCATCAAGCTATGCTCAATAACCTACACTGACAAACTGAAAACATTGACATTCATTTTTTTTTTTTTGCAAATCTTGCCAATTACAGAGAGGTCCTTGAAGAAAATCTGCTCCCGAGTGCACGTGACTCGAGACTGGAGCATCACCTGAAGCACAACCGTGACCTGAAGCACACAGCTGAGACAACGCTTAGTGGCACCAGGACAAGTCTCTGATTGTCCTTGAGTGGCTCAGTCAAAGTCTAGACTTACACCCCATAGAACAGCTGTGGACAGACCTGAAGAGGTTCAGATGCTTCCCATCCAATATGACAGAGCTTGAGAGGATCTGCCAGGAGCAATGGGATAAACTGCCCAAATCCAGGTATGCAAAGCTTGTAGAGACTTGTCCAAGATGACTCAAACCTGCAATTGCTGCCAAAGGGGCTTCTACAAAGTACTGAATTAAGGGTCTGAATAGTTTTGTGAAAGAGAGTGTCCAGCTTTTGACTTGTAATGAATTTACAAAACCTTTTAAAAGCAGGTGTCCTCTTTTTCAGTGTGGGTTAGATCTCACCCCAGGTGAACACCTGTGGGAGACTTTAGACTGATGTGTTGGACAGCGCTCTCCACCTCTGTCATCAAAACACCAAATGAGGGAATATCTATTGGAAGAATGGTGTTCATCCCTCCAGTAGAGTTCAGAGACCGGTGGCCCAACACCTTACTATACTAACACCTAATGTTGGTTTTTCCTTTCATTCGTCACTCATCTGTATTTGCAGCTGCAGGAAATTAGCTTGAGTTTCTGTGAAACGGATATAGATGGAGATATATACGAAGGAAGAAAGAGGACAGAGACACAACAGACACACAGACATGAAGGACACGTCAGTTAGCCGACTCCTCAGGACAGACTTCAGAGAAAATAAATTTTCCAAAGTTCAGGAATCTGGGTAAATGATGTTGCACAGCATGGGGGTGACACAGGGGATCAGTGGTATGTGTGCGTGTGGGTGAGTGCATTCCTTTTATATTGACCTCAGTGTGAGTGTGTGCTTGCATACACATTTTCCTGCTTTTAAGTGTGTGTGTGTGTGTGTGTGTGTGTTAGGCGAGGTGTCTGCGACCTTCTCCACCTCAGACCCTGTGTGCTCATCTCCCCACTGCTCCTTGTCATGCTGATTTAAGCTGTTTCTCTACATCTGGTGGACTATTTGTAGTTAAGAAGCGGTCAGTCGGGGTGAGATGAGGAAAAAGGTGAACCAGCTGCAGGGACCCTAATACATGTCCTGATTTTATCCCGCAACATCCTCTCACTCACAAGTCATGTTCTGTAGGCCTTTTTTTTCCTTCAGTGTTCTGTCATTTGTGTCCACAGGAATATGAGAATTTTTTTGCATTTTTTTTAAAGGTGATTTTACAGTTAAGCTCACAGTCAATTAATCCACACAATAGCATCAACTTAATGTCTAACAATGAATTTAAATGAGCATTTTCAGATCGTATTTGTGATTATATGACACCCTCTAGTGGACAAAAAGAAAATAACAGAGGAAAAATGAGGATTAAGATTATAATTGACCTGACTGCTTCATACATTTCCATACGAAACAGCAGGATGGGGTAGACAGACAGGTTGGGAAGATGTTGGCACAGTTACAAACTGATGCATGCTGGTTGCTGTGTAGCTGCAGACCTGCAGGATTGATATCTAGGATTAATATGTCTTTTGAAAGAGAGGAACTTCACTGCTATAAAGGGAACTTGGAGCCAGTTATAGATGAGATTCAATGAAGTCAGGGTTCCTTTCTTTTCTTAAAAGTAGAAGGAGCTATATCTGGAGCTCAGGACTAATATAACACTGACAGTAGGTGTACTCATGACCTATGAGTGTGATGTACAGGGGTCAAAACCGCATCCTACTCACCTCATGAATCATCCTACAAAATCATTTCCTGTTGCAAATAAATATACATACATACTCATGGATGAGCTGGACAGTGTGCTATTCTGCAATGAGTAAATTACATAACAAATACTGAAATGTACTGAGGTGCTATGTGTAGAAATGTCATGGCTGGATTCCAACCAGTTGTCCCAGGATACCCACTGGATTTGCCGTTGCAGCCACTAGCTTCTCACCTCATTCCTTCAGTCTAGGCTGGAGGTCTACTTGTGTAATAAATCCATTTTCATTGGACACGGATTAGCACTCCCTCAGCCATCTGGAAAAATCTCAAGGCACCACAGTAGCAGTCCGATTGCACATTGATACAGTATGTGATACTAGAAGTCGCAGCTTGGTTAGTGTCTGGTAAGGTAACAATGTTGAGTCAAAGGGGGCGAAGTTCAGTGCGTGACCTGAGAATATTTACCCCACCCCTGTAATACAATAGGAAGCTCTAATAGACGAGTTGAAATTCAAATAGTTGCTTCAGTGCATCATGCTGACTCACAAAAGTGTTGTGGTGTTACGCGTCTGGGAGCATTTGTTTTAGTAGCACGACTTCATAAAGACGAAAAATCTTTTATTCTTGTAGGCAACTTCACCCTGTGAATTTTACATCCGAGCTCCACTAGACCGCTGTGCTGAGCATGGCATTAAAATAAACCAAATAACACTGTAAACAGAGGGACAAGAAAACATAACACTTTTATGCAAAAAAACTAAAAAACACACTTGAGTTACAGAAAACTTAGGGTGACACATCATACATTAAATTTTAGATTTCATCACATCAGTGCACACAAACGCTCCAAGGGGGTTTACTACCTTTACCCAACAGTCACACAAATCAACACTATATACAAAAAAAGCACTGATTGAAATATTTAAGACAAAAAAAAAAAGTCTAAGAAGCTTGGATAATCAGAATGTAACATTTCTTTTAAAAACATTTTCTTGAGCAGGGAAATTTTCACCAACCATCTGTTTTAAAAAGAATAACGTCAAAGAGGAGCCTCAAGCTTTGAACAAGTTAACTGCCACAAAAGCTCATTTAACAAGGATGGAAAACTTCCAAAATGTTTTAGACAAACTGGGATACAGAAATGAGACTGGTGAGGTTAGGTCCATCAACCTACGTGTCAATAAAACATCTGAATTTACAACACAGAGCTCAGATGTGACTCTCCACAAACAGGCCAACCCACATACACGACACATTCCTGTAAGCAGACAGTCGTGTTTAACAAACAAGGTAGGTTGGACTGAATGATAAATATGAGGCAGGTGATCACAATGTCACAAAAAAAAATGAAGAACAAGAAAAATAGGTTTCCATCAAGAATGGATTGGAATTGTGTCAAAAAAGAATTCTTTATTTTAAAAAATGTACAAAAACAAGATGGCCACATCTTCCCTGATATGACCTCCTGAAACAGTCCCACTATTGTCTTCAGATAAACAGACATCAGTAGCGCCGACCAAAAGCTCCACCCTGAAGCCCGCTGCCCTGCATCAACTGGTTCTGTCTGTTGAGAGCTCCAGAGAGGGACTGAGATGTTCCTGTGTTCATGTAGCTTCCACGACTGGTGAGAGAAAAAAAAAAAAAAAAACAGACAGACAATGATTGGCTGCTCTTGTGAGCTTAAGTTCATCTTAAAAGGGATAACATCAACTTTGAGACTTAATTACAGCTGATAGTCACTACTTACCCTGCCATTCCTCCACGTGCCATGTGGCTCTGGCCTGGGATAGCACCATCTCTACCTGGAGTTGAGAAGCACAACATCAGACACACAGACCTAACACAGTAGTTAAAGCTCTAGACTGCCATTAAGCAGGACAACAACTATACACTGTTTTCCCTCAGTCTGCTACTATATCTATGCCATCTGCCACTCCAATCCTCAGAAGGCAAAACTACTGTACTTTAAAATGTAAATCATGCTATCACTAGCAGTACAGTCATTACACACAATACTGCACAAGTATTCATACTTTGCCATGTTCTGTCTCCTTCCATCTTCCGTCCAGAGTCCCAGTCTCGACCTCCTTCCCTAAGAAAAATAATAATAATAATAATTTTTTACATTATTTATCTTGTTCATGAAACATGGCCGCGTTGTATTCTTTCTAAGTTTTATGAGGCTTAAAATGGAGAAGCTCAGAATGATGCTCACCTTGGGTTCATGCGCTTGTCATAGCCTCCACCCCAGGCCTCTCGGCCATCTCTGCCATGCCTGTCTGACCTGTCTGAGAAGTGCTGTAAGAGGAGAGGAGACAGTTAGAACTCTCTCACATCCTGCTCCCGTGTGGTTCTTACAAATTTTAGGCTTCAAAGATTCACGTTTTACTGTTCTTTAGGGCAGTTGGTCACCACTGATCTTTGTGTCAGCCACACACCAACGCAATGACCCTGTGGGAGGAGGATCCATGTCTCTTACCTGACCATCTCTGTCTGCACCTATGCCACGAGCGTTGTCCCGCCTGTCCATCATCATGTCATCTTGGTAACGGCCCCGGTCTCTGTGGTCAAAGTCCTGATAACGCTCCTGACGACTGAAGTCTGAACGGCTATAACGGTCGTCCATGGCCATGCGCTTATCAGGCCAATCATCTTTCCTAAAAAAACAAAACAAAATAATGAATATCACTGGCTGAGCTTGTCTCTATCTGGATGATAAACAGAAGCACTGAAACTCACACTCTTATTATTGACGATATTTTAATACTGATTGAGAAGCCAATTGATATGAACCTCTGCTTAAGCAATAAATCCATTAATCAATCATCCTGTTTATCGTCACTACACCACGTCAGTTATTATTTACCTGCCATCCATGTCATAGGGCCTCTTAACGGGCCGTCGCTCCTGTTCATAACGCAACTGCTCCTGCTGCCGCCTCAGCTCCTCGCGCTCCCTGAGGATCCTTTCCTGCTCCCGCCGCCTCTCATACTCTATACGTAGCCTTTCACGCTCCAGGAACTGACGCTCCATACGGTCTGCATCGAGGCGCTGCTTCTCAGCCTGGGAATGAAGCCATTCATCACGACTATCAAATGATATTGCAATTTTTATATAAAAAGAAAGTTGGCAAATGGCTGTATGAGAGCAATGGAAGAATATATATGTATGGTGTATGTATTCAACAGACAAAGATTTGCACTAGTTAGAGTATAATGCAAGAAATGTGGGTAGCACAGATATCAATGCAGTAAGAGAAAGAAAAAAACCCTCCAAGAAATACACAAGAGTAGCGTGACAGTACCTCCAGCCAGTGTCTCTTCCGGATCAAGTGTTTCCTCTCTTCTCTCTCCCTGAACAGACGGATTCGCTCACGCTCGCGATCTGGACGATTGTCACGGTCGCGGTCGCTGAAAGAAAAGAGCAAGGATCAATCCGTGTTCAGTGAGACACCACCAACAGACGAGCACCAACTGTCTCCTAAGTATGTAGTGTCTTGAATGATAAGTGAGAAAATATAAGTTAATAGTGTCCATCATATGGATCAAACAAAACTACAATGACTTCTTCAGCCTTCCGACAAAGATCTACAGGTATCTACAGAAACAGATGCAGGACTAAAAAAGCTATTTCACATGGACCTCCACACGATAAAAATCTAAAGAAGTACAAGATTGTAATTTCATCAATTTCGATTATTCTGTATCAAACCATATTAGAGTAGGTTGAGATTACTGTTTCTGGGCCCTTTGCTGACGATCCTTACGTGTATCTGCGTCTTTCCACCTCTCTGATCTCCCTCTCTCGTTGTCTCTGCCTCTCCCTCTCTCTCTGCTCCTTGATCTGGTCGAATGACAGGATGTCTTTCTTCTCTTTACTAGGTGACTTGCGGTCCCGACTCTTTGTGCTCTGGAGAAAGGAGAGCGCGAAAGACAGGATAGAAAAAAGTTTAAGTTAGAGGCCGATTGCAAAAACACATTAAAATACATTGTATATTAGACATTCTCTATGGTGTATGTTTACTTACTCGCTCCTTGCTTTTGGTTTTGACGCTGATAACAGGCTCTCCCTTGGACTTATCCATAACTACAGTCCTCTCATTTCGCCCTGTGAAAAACAAATATAGTTGACATTGTCAAGAATACACAAATAATAAGTAAATGCTTTCAAGAGGTAACTTTTCCAGCATTTACTTGATACATAGAAACTGGGAAAGATCTAACTTTTCTCACCTTTGCCATCTTTTCCTTCTCCCTCAGATTTCTCATCCTTTCCATCAGACCTACAAAAAACACAACAGTGTGAGCTCTATCAGAGCCATATTAACCAACATTTTAACCAACAATTCAGTGACTGGTTTACTTTTCTCCCTATAGTTGACAGTTCATCGCGTCATTGTATAAATCAGGATCTCTCAACTACTGAGGTTACAGGTTACCACTGGGTAACGCCATGCTAAAAATGTCTGCACCCATGATATTTAAAGGCACACCGTATCAAAATACCAGGCCGCTAGGTCAGTTTTAGTAACAGACATGACTCAAACACAAGACAGCTCGTAAGCGATCTTACTTGGAGTCGGAGGAGTGTCTCCTGTCGCTGCCAGACTTCTTGATGTCATTCTTGTCTGCTGGCTTCTTCCCTGCCGGCTCATTTTTTGCCTACAGTTAAAACAAGAACATGTTTATTCACAAAAGCTGAAAGAACAGATTCAGTTTAACATACTGATTATACCAAAAAAGTTATATTTTAATCTTAGCAAAAAGACATTATTCAGTTTATAAACCCTCTCTTGATTTGCGTGTATTGTTTTCTCCTGTCATCTTCTCCTGTCAGTGCCTGCTACAGGAGAGTGAAGCCATAAACTGAAAATTTAGCAACAATATGTTTGATAAAAGCTAAACAACTATAATGTAAATAAACTTAATAAGATTTATTTTATTTTTATCCTCAAATCTTAATCTTAATAATCAAAGTGTATGTGTTGATTAAAACAGTTTCCACAGAGATTAAATTCAATAAAAGGAAACTGTGTTGATTCACTCAGATTCATGAGGTGTTTTATTTGGGTGGGACCTTAGTTATTAGGGGACCAATAAAAGCAGTAAAAGAAAAAGTCTTCCCTCAACACTCACCCGCTCCACAGAGATCATCCTGCCATGCAACTCAGTCCTGTGAAGGTGGCTGATACACTTGGTCGCCTCCTCTGTGGAGGACATGGTGACAAAACCATAGCAGCGAGCCCCGGGGCTCTTGGCATTGGTGACCACCTTTGCACCAACAACCTGCAGGACATTAAATTGAAATGATCAATTTTAGATGAAATATAAATGATTTGTAGGCATGTTGACAATGGTGAGAGATAGTTTGCATAGACTAACTTTGCCATATTTGCTGAAGAGAGTCTTCAGATCAGTCGCTCTGGTTGTGGAAGAGAGACCGCTGACCCACAGATTCCTGCTACTGCTTGCTGCAGCACCACTTCCAGCGGCTACACATTTACAAAATAAAGGAATAAGCATACATCCATTGAATATGAAAGATACAATAGGACATAAACCGCTTCATTCACTCACCCTTTTCATCTTTTGACTCTGTCTTGCCATCTTTTTCCTCAGCGCTAAAGACAAAGAAAAAAAGCCATAAACATACAGCAGTGAGGACACCAGGGCTCTTCTCACCTAAATGTATTTACTTATGTGTTTTATGGTTGAATAAAAAAAGTTGACAGTGATCAGCCCATCATGTACCATAGTGCCGTGCTTTAACAGTGAAAAAAATGGAACTATACCCTATGAAAATCACAATACATTACTCGTTAATGGGTAATAACGAGGTAATAGGTGAGTGTAAGGAACGACAAATGAAAACGGACAAATGCACAGAACGTTTTTACCTCCAAAAGAGCATCCAAATTTTTCTAGCACAAAGGAGCCAATGCAACAGAGATAGCCATTTTGGTTTCTAGTAGACAGAAAGCAACAAACCTCTTTTTCAGATCATCGCCCTCTACAGAAGAGGACTCTTTCACTGTCGAGGCTGAATCCGCAGCAGCTTTCTCTTCTGTCTTCTCATCCTCCTCACCCTTCTTAGACCCAATTTCTGAATCAACGGTTTCACCCACAGCGCCCTGTTCGCTTACACTAACAGCCTGCGAGCTTTTGTTTTCAGCGTCAAATGTCTCTTCTGGGACATTCTGTGTGTCCCCAACCTCTTTGGTGTCAGTCTCCATAACATCCCTGTCGCTCTCCACATCTCCAGGGGCGGCTTTGTCAGACACACTGTCTTCCCCTCCGGCGGTGGCAGCTTGCTCTTCTTCAGGGCTCGTCTCGTGGCTCTGGTGGTGATCTTCGTTAAGCGGCTCAGATAAACAAGACCCGGCTACTTTGTCATTTTCTACGGATTTAACAGGAATAGAATGGCACAGAGTTTAATCACTTCTGAAACACAGCAATGGTTAACGAGGAACTGGCAAGGCCTGGATTAGGAACGTCATGACCACTGGTCTGTGCTCTTACTACTATGTATTAAAACGATGAAGTAGTCCCTAATGAGAGACTGGAAGAGAACCCAAAGGCTGGAGGACAACCAAGCAACTAATGCGGCTAACACTTTGGCTCAATTCTCAAGTTGAACCACTTCACTCTGTTCACCTGATCCAAAGCAGACAAAGACTTCAGTGCTGAAGAGAGCCACAAGATCAGCAGTGCAGCAGTGGAGGCTCACTGTAGTCCATCTTCTTTCAGACTTTCCAAGTGTCCATTTGTATTGACCAGAACTTCAGCTCAAGTCCAGCATATTCATATCCAGCTGATTTCTGAGTCAGAGTCTTTAAAAAGATGTAATGGCTGAGGAATCTTGATGGATCTTCTTAGTCTTCATGTGGCAACCTAGAAACACTGCAATCACCTGCAACAGCTCAAACCTCCCTGACCATGAAATGTAATTGCTGTCAATGTGCATCAAATTGTTAACCACTGTGATTTTACAACGTGAAGAACGTTATTGGTAACTTGACCAATATTTGATGGGGAAATTATCAATTATGGATAACCCAACTTTCAGCACAAATTCAGCAATTTCCTTTGGGCTTCCAGTCTCTCTCTAAGCAAAGTGTTTGCATTCCAAGCTCAACACTGTAAAAAGATGCCTCCACCTTTTTTTAAACCATTTTCTACAGTACCTGTTTCTTCTTTCATGTAGTCTGCATCTGGATCCTGTGCCCAAAGAAAAAAGATGCCTTTATGAAACTGCACGCTTGTGGCACTTATATTTACCACAGTGTCACAAGCTTTACATACATGAAAAATATTTAGTGAGGGAACATACCATATTGACTGATGAGCATGTCATATATTCATCCTTATCTGTCATCTCAGACTCGTCCAACTGTTAAAATACAAACAAGTACAGCAACATTAAAACTTGCCGAGTTAAAATATAAGAATTAGAGGACAAGTTTCCAGTCTTGTTTCACCTCTGGACGTCTTGCTTCATCCTCTGACTCGAAATCCCTGTTGTCATGTTCATCTTCATTCATCTCTGCGTCTTCTTCATGGAGGTTCTCTGTTTCCTCGTCATCATCCTCGGCTGGTATTCCATTGTCGTTATCCGTCTCATCCAGCACGTTCATATCGAGGATGTCCATTTCCTGCATGTTCTCATGATCATCCTGCAGATCCTCCTGACAAAGAAATGGCAGAATTTGTTAAAAACAGTAACAACAATACAACAGCATGACCCAGAGCCTAACAACTTATTACAAACATTATAAAGGACTTTCAAGAAACTTACGTGCCCATCATGGGAGTCCTCCTCAAGAGTGCTGTCCTCTGGTTCATCATTCTCTTGCCTGGTATCTACAGAAAATATTCTTTATTTTAGACCAAGTTTTCATTGGGTGTCTAAGAGCTACCAAAGAAACCTGTTATGTTTGTACATTACAACCTCCAAAATTATCATGCCTATATAGACCAAACAAAATTTAACATTTTCAAACTCATAAAAAGGTAGATTTTGTGGCAGGGCTATTGCCTGATGCATGGCAGACATTGGTCAATTGACACACACTTCAAGAAACAGACACTGCCCGACACAAACCTAATCACATATAGAGGTATGACTACTCCCCTTGACATGGACAAAAACTCAAGGCTCAGAAGCAAGGACCACCATAAACCTTTTAGAGATTTAATTGTCAGTACTAATCCTCGTTGCTCTGAAGTGCCCAAGGAAATTTACACTGTTCAGTTTTTTTTGTTTTATTTATGTAGTGTCCTTGTGTTACATGAAAGGTGCTTAAAATTTAATCTAACATTATGATTTTCATCATTAATATTATTATTGTAAATGGAAACTGAATAGTGAAGCATTTATCACTATTAATTACACTATATTATAAATCAAATTTGGTAAAAGAACACTGATAAAGTTTATCATAAAGTATGCCTAATCAACGATCAAAATCAACTTTTCATCCATGTTCAGATTACACATCCATGACATCTAAAACTCTATTCATTTAACACCTGTTTCTGCTTATCCAACCTCTGTATAACACATTGTATCCTACCTGAAGTTGCACCCAATAACATGACAACTGAGTGTACAGCTATGCTCTGTACTCTGACAGATATGTGAGGTGACTATAAATAAAAGTACAATTGGTAAACGTCAGATTAGAGTCTCTCAAACACTAAAATATTTTGTTGCTTCTTAAGGCAAGGTGCACAGGCATTAAGTACCACGAGACCAGGTATCATGTGTCATTTGGCAAGAAGAGGACTCTCCAGTGTTGTTTCGTTTTTACTGAAGCTAATGAGACAAGACCTTGAGTCACATTGTACAAACATTAAAAGCTTAGGTTGAGGCGTGTGTGCAGCTTGTGGAGACTTTACCTCTGGCAGCCCGCTTAGGTGTAACGTTGACTTTCTTTGGTGCTGAATCTGTAGCCACAATAATTTCATCAGGATTTCCACCCTCCTCCTCGATGGCCTGTTTATGGAAAGTAACCCCACAATGTATTCTTTAATAGACTGTACAAAGAAGAATGACGTTTTCTAAAAAAACAACGTCAAATATGTACAAAGCCACGAAAAAAAACACATTTAGCTGTCAGGTGTTTGGCGCAAACATTAGCTAAGGGTTAGCATTAGCATATGGTTCAGGTCAATGGGTTCGTATTCGTAAACTCACGTAGCTTCGTGTTTATACTAGTTTGGCATGGTGCATTCACAAAGCCAGTACATGCATGCTTGTGTGGTAATTCTGTTCCTAGTTATTTAACAAGAGAGCAGTCAGAAGACCTTTTTCAAACGCTCCGACAGCACGCTCTTGACGCCCGTGGTGTCCAGATTTCGTTTCTTCAGCTCGGCCTTCAGATCGATAACTCTCAGCTCGGACAGCTTGCGAACCTCCGCGCCCTCCGGAACCTCCACGTCCGCTGATGGGTCCGCCATCGTTTTTCTTTGTGAAAATAATTCCTTAGCTTGAAATGACCTTTTTATGCACTTTATTTACTACTGCTACGTGACGGTTGCAGGCAGCTGGCTTGCAAAACTACTGCAAAATGGAGGCAGCGCGAGCAAGTGACGTCAGGCCGCATGCGCAGTACGGTTTTAGCGCAGAGACGAGCATTACACAGGCTGCATTTGGTAAAAAAAATTATGAATGACAAACGCATCTTGAACAGGAAATACATAGTCAGGGATGGCATTGAACTGTTTTTTTACGTTTGCACAAAAAGTTGATACAATTCATCTTCAAAGGTTAGCCTATTTTTATTTACTGCCTCTTAAATACAGAACATATCATAATTGATCTACAGTGTAACGGGTTATAATGTACCGATTTCTTATAAAAAAAAAAATGTTTACAAAACATAAAAACGTAATACAATTTAATGCAATGACCACATTAAATGGCAAATGGCAATGTCATAGGTCCCACCACCCCCACCCCACATCTTTTTTTTTTTTACGTGTACTCTGAGTTATCAGACCATAATGGTCAAATCAGGGATCATAATGCCTAGTAAGAGTGAAAATTGTACATGTCACTAAATTTGTAGTTTGTGTCATTTATTTGGCTGTGGGGCAAGCTTTTGCTGGCAACAATAGATTTAGTGGTGTCAAATACTTCAGGACTGTCAGTCTCCTCTGGTATATTGGCACTCCTGGATGCAGTCGGAGTAATGGAAGACTCTCTGCCAGTTTGTGCATCATATAACGATGTGTTTGAGGCTGACTCGACAGAGGTGAAGCCCTCGCCAAAGTAGGAGCACTCAGCAAGGTTGAAGGGGTCGGGGCTGAGGGATGAGGATGCAGAGCAGGCACGCGGTGGCCGTGGTTCATGGAGGTTGAGTTTGGAGACCAGTGGTTTGCCAACTGTCACTGGTTGCCTTTCCTGTACTTCTTCATCCATGTTGGAATATGTGTAATGAAGACAGACGGTGAATGTGAGCTCCCCCTATTAAGACAGTTAAGAGCAGAATGTGTTTTTTAGCTTTGGAGAAAAAATATAAAAAGGCTTGAGAGGGTCTGACCTCCTCCACAAAAGACAATGAAGTATATCTCAAAATAAAGTCCACTCTTCATTATAGACTTAATCAAATATTATTCAACATAAACCTTGATTAAAATACTTAAAAAGGTAGTAGTGTTATTTATGACTCTGCTCAACATAAGTAAATTATTTCCAGAGGGCACCTAAACATTAATAAGTTTTCATGTAAGACAGAAATCAGAGCAGTAATTATGTCTGACCCTGAGTCTCTGCAGGCTGCGGATGCGAGTGTAAAGACTGGGGACCTCTGGTGAAGGAAGATTTTCCTTGATCAATAATAAACTGCCAGCTTCAAGCAGAGTCTCCTGGTTACTCTTCTTCAGATCGATGTCCACATCCTGCCAAAGAAACATATAACACGGTGTAAAAGTCATTAAAGTTTGAATTTTTTGTGTGCTTCAAGTATCCACAATAAAAAATAAATTTCCTGCTTAAAATAGTGTATTGCCAAACACTGACTGATTCCAGGTCTCAAGCATGATGTGTCATTTTAAGCCAGAACTTTGTGTGTCATTAAAATCTCAAACTTGCATAAGTATCAACTAACAAACCTGGGGGAAGTCAGTAAGCTGAGCAGAGCAGGAAACAATTTCTTTGGGCTTCTCAAGTATCCGAGTGTAGATGACCATGATGTTGGAGAACTCTGCAGCAAACCCAAGCTGAACTGTCACGCCACAGTCAAACTTCAGGTAATGGCTCTTAGGTAGGACTATGAAAACAGGCATTTGAATTAGGTATGCTTTATTCAAAAATGTTCATGCCAACATTAAATAAATGATCCTACAGACATGGCAATAACTCTTGCTATATTTAATCACTTTAGTTGATTTTTGTGGGAAGAGTACCGTGAGCGACGGCCCACTGCAGGTTGCGAGCTGAATAGGATGCAGAACATTCAGCGGCCTGTATCTGGTCGGTGAGGGAGCGTCGTTCAGACAGATTACTGCGGAGCTCCAGAGCCTGCCTCCCGCGTGTGATTACACAACGGCCCATGTCTGGTAAGAGTAAACAAGTAAACAAGTAAACAAACATGTATAGGTTCCACTTCTTCAAGCTGTAAAAGAGTAATTCAACATTTTGAGGAGAAAAAAAAACTTCTGGCTTGAGATTTTCAAGAAAGTTGCTCATCTGAAACAGATGAATCAGAAAATCAGACAACCTGCACCACTGCAAAATACATTTGCAGATAGGAGTTGCATGTGAGCCACTTTCAGGTCACGTATTGATGCAAAGTAAATGGTGCAAATCTGTTGTAGGACGAAAGCAAGGATCTCATGGTTCACATGTGTGCTCTACGTACCTTCAGCCACTCTGTCTAGCATGACTGTCACCTTCTCATCCTCACAAACCCGCTGTTTGAGGAAGTTTATGAAGATGCCATTGGACACGTCTTCTCTCTTTACTTCATATGCCTCTGCATCTACGCATCTAAACACAACCAAGTACACATGAGTGACACCTTACACACTAAAGCAAGAAGACTGTTACATAATTAATACGTATTAAATATACGTCTCTTGTCTTAAACACTGGACTCATTCAAAGACAACAGGCGCTAACATAGTTTGGAAATTACTGTGTCGGAGGAACGGCAACTTACGTGGCATAACCATACACTATATTTGCTGTGACTTTCAGCAGTCCTGGTTGTACAATGAGATCATCATTTGGGTTTCTAAAAAAGAAAACATGTGACACACAAATATGCACAGCAGGTGGTCCAATCTTACAGGTATCTCAGTTCATTCTTTTAAATAAACACTGATACCTTTTGCGACACATGTCCAGCAGGAATACGTTGAGTCCGGTCTCTTTCTCCTGCATCCTGGTGAGTATATTCTGTACACACAGGCAGTGCTCTGATGTGTAGGAGTTTGGTGCATCGATGGGAACCATGAAACTGTTGCCGTAATTCTCATAACCATGACCAGCAAAGTATAGCAAGCCTGCAGAAGGAGGGACAAAGAAGTTTTATAAAATTTGATGAACTGTGTCAATATCACAGAGAATCAAAAACTTTAAACTAAAAGTTGGCACGTGTTATTGGTCAGATTCTTCTTCTCAGGTTCTCATTTGCTTATTTTTATTTTACTCTTAAATGGTCTGTTTTTAAAAGTTTATTTTTTGTACCATATTATAATTAGGCAAAGTTGTTTATATTTATTTCATTACATGAAAAAAAGTGACATATTCAGCAAAGAAAAGTGTATCATTAAACCATTAAACCATACGCTGACTGCAAGTTATACTGTAAACAAACATATTACATTCACTTGGGTCGGAGCAGTTTATAGCCTGTGTAATCTTTAAAAGTACGGACACAGAGACTAAACAAGCTTTGAGATAGATTGTCTAAATGGCTACGAGACAAACCGTAGACTCCCTTGTCAAGCAGCATAAGGAACTCTGTTACTGCGCTGTGCATCTCCTGCCAGTTGAGGTCGAGCAGAGAAACCACCTTGAAGTCCATTTGTCTGAGGAGATTGGTCAACTCATGGACGTCAGCGATGGGAGCACATAGCTGAGTGTGGTAGAGGTAGTTCATGTTGCCAATCAGCAGAGCAACTTTGCCTGTTGCTGTGGAGAGGAAGATAGAGCATCATGAAAGACCCGCTAACCTAATAAATGATGTCACGTACTTATTAACAGCTTATATTTTAGTCTACAGATACTGTATTGTAGCATAGTATTTGTTTGGACAAAACACACCATAGAAATGCTTGGCTAATGGTGGCCGTTCGACAATCTTTGGTAGCGGATTTATTCCTGGTGGAAAAGTTGACCTGTGGACTTCCTGTGAGTCTGACAAGACAATATGAAAAGAAAAAAACTTAAAAATGTCCCACACTATGTGATATAACATCAGCATGTTTAATGTCTTTTCAACAGTGCTTGGTAATCTCCCATACACATTGATTTCTTTTGATCAGATTGGAAAAACTAACCTGAGCCGAGTCCACACTTATCAAACACTCACACACAGCCCACTACTAGCTTAACTGCTTTGACACAAACACACACACACACACACACACACACACACGCACAAAGGCTTACGTGATACTCTTTCTTTCTCACAGATGTACAAACAAAAAACAGGAATCAAAGTGATTCAATGTTTCAGAAAATGACAGAGGAACTAAAATACTACTCTGGTTCTCTAATTTCCTTCTAATTATTTGATTAGAAAATAAACAATACCTGTACCACGATCAATTTCTTCCCAGGATGCCTCAGTAATGGAACCGGGACCTGCATAAAAGTGCAAAAAAATAAGTTATTCACTGCACAGTCCTACAAATGTGCACTCTCAGACTTACTGTACTGTTGTTCTATGCATGTTCACAAATTCCTCAGAAGTATTTACTTGATTGTTGTTAAAAGAATTTTAACATTAAGATCTCTTTGATTTTTCTCACCTATACTTATGCATTCTGAATATAAAACATAGACATTATGCGTCTGGGTCTTACCAATGGTGACTGTTGCTGTGTGGCTCCAGGCCTCATGATAGAAATTGAACATCTTACATTTGTACTGTCCTCTGTGTGCTGTGGTCACACAGGGGATCTACAGGACAAAAATGCAAAATTACACAACATCAGCTACACAGAGTATACCAATACAGAGACTGCATACATTTTCCTTCATATGACCCCGTACAAAAAGTTAATTGTAACATTTGCAACATTTTAATCCATGTCTTGTCAAACTCTTCAGCTGGTGACCCACCAACCAAATGGCACTATGGCATTTCATAACTGGTCTCCAAAACACATAAAAAAGAAAGAAAATATGCCTTTGCCAGGACAAGAGGAGCTCAAGCTCTCCAAGTCACTAAGACCTTTTTTAATTTCTGATACCCCTTTCTTACCACTTGACCGTGGCTTTATATTGCTTGTCTTGGTTGTAATGCTACTTTTACTTGAAGTTTTAATCAAAAAAAGTGAAGAAATGATGACTCCCACATGCAGCATGTAAGCAGTCAGAGCAGACTCTGTGAATACACTTACTTTGAGTGAACGCGTCTTGTGTTGTGGCATGGGCACTGTGTTGTGGTACCACTCATACTGGGCGGGGGGGTTGGCCTCTGCTTTGCACTCAAGGAACAGAGAATCACCCTCAGACACTTCCTGGGACTCAGGCTGCTGGACGATAAGCAGCCCACTCGCTGACCCTGGAAACAGGCCGCTGCTGCAGCCTGAGATGTCAAGATTTACCAGGATGTTACATCACATGACATGAGATGAAATTATAGCATGATAAACGAGGAGATGAGGAAGAAGAGAGGAGAGGTACCTGGACTAGAGTGAACCGGGCGAACTTGAGCCCACTGAGAGAAGATGCAGTTTTCTCCATGGTTGACCCGACAGATGTAGTGACCCTGGTGGACCGGGGCTAACGGACACAGAACCAGCTCTGGCATACACCCTGTCTTGTCCAAAATCTAACACAGGAAAATAATAAGTAGCCTATATCTTATAGTCTACATGACAATTTACAACTGATATTTGGTAACAGCCATCGATTGAACTACATTACATTACTACATTACCATCAGCACAGTAACACCAATATGATGCAAAGGTGGCAGATTTAGCCAAAAAGTTACATAAATACGGAACAATCCACAGAACTCAGGGTTTGACCTGAAATCTGTCTTTACTTTTTATAATCACATAATGATAAGATGTTGGACTGACCTCCTCTTTGCCTCTGAACCACTGGTAGCTGAGCCCAGGGGGGCCAGCAACTCTGCAGGTCAGTACCACCCTGCCCCCCACTGTGGCCTGCTGGGACTGTGGTTGCATTGTAATCCGAATTGGCTGTGCCACTACCAGACAGAAAGACAGACAGACAGACAGACAGACACACACACACGCACAAAATAAACATTCATAAGCTCACTCAGTTGCAAAAGTATTTCCATTTAGCTTCAGGGGATGTGGCATAGTTACTAATAGGCACTAACTTGTGGAAGGATCTGGAAAATAAACTACTGCCTCATAATATTTCCTCTATCTATATGGTTGATAGAGATATCACTATTTTTTTTACTGTTGTTAACAACAAAAATAGGAAGCTGTATAAAATGATTTTCAAATGAAGTTAAACTTCCTTCTTTGGCATTATGGCCCCTGTGAGGCATGAGAAAAATGACGTAACAAAATTTTCCAGGTATTGCTATGGCATTGCAGCTTATGACTTTATGATTTACTACAACACATAAATGTGACAGAGGCATCATTCATTTATGTTATTAGTTACACCTGTGCTTTTACTGCTATGAGAAGTCAGAATGTCCACGATGAGAAAATGCCAGAACTTGAAAAATATCCACTGTACTCTCATTAGTACTTGCCCTTTTCAACCTACAAATTCAAGAGATCAGAATTTATGGCTGAGATCAAGGGCTGTCCAAAGTATAATGTTAAACCCAGCTTAGAGTTAAAGGGGTATTTCCTGACAAACATCTCTATACATTTGCCTATGTACACTTCACTATTCTACCTGTGGTGGTAATGTACTGCACAGCTTCCTGGTGGTCCACCTTCCTCAGGCAGTGGAGCAGGAAGTCCAGGGAGCAGGAACGATCAGCCAGCCAAGCGAGGAGGGTGCGTCCTGGGCTGCCAGCAGCGCTCAGCACCTGCAGTGAGCAGCTGGTCAGCTCTCTTTCACTGCAGGGAGGGAGTTCAATGGGCAGAGTTAGAAGAGGTGGTGACAGTCCTAGGGCTCAAACAAAAAAAACTTGCAGGAATGTACAGTAATAATTGGGAGTGTGTGTGAGTGTGTGTGTGTGTGGGGGGGGGGGATACATCTAAGAGAATCATTGTAAAATATGTAAAATAAATGTTCGAGGCAGTTATTGTGATCAAAAAAAGTAAAAAACAAAAATGATAAAACTGCTGTAACCATGTCCCCCTTTGTGTGATGCCTTCAATGCCTCACCTGCAGTGGAATTCCGGATGCTCGGACAACGAATTGGCCAGCTGCCTCCACCCGCAGGTGGAGTTGTCCAACATCTTCGCCAGCCTGTTCAGGACTTCTTCACTCAGAGTAGCAATGCTCATTTTCCACCCCTCCATCTTCTTCTGCGTCTCCATCAACAAACCCAGAGATCTGCTGGACAAACAGGGACTTTAAACTAAAAACTTTACGCGCTATATCTGTCCCCAGTTGAGTCCAGCACGTAGCAGCTTTGAGTCCATAAGAAGTTTCCTCAGGGTGGGACTCTCAGTGATGAACGACAACAGTGAGTTTTAATGGTGAGTGAATCTCCCTCTCGGTCGCCTACGCGGCTGGTATGCAACAAAACTAACAGGTTGTAAATACAGCTTCGGGTTTTCCCGTGGTCAGCTTTGTGAAAATGCGTGGCGCGGGAGGAAAATCCGCCGTAGGTAACTGTACACACACATGGCCCAGGTCAATTGATCCTGCTGAGGAAACAAGCCCACGTAACTGCGGAGCTCGAAAATGAAACTATAAGTTGTATTCACACCAAACTAAACACCAAGAAGGGGATTGAGAGCTGCGCTGCCACTTGTCGCTTCCGCGATTAATATCCTGAAACATATATTAGTCATAAGGAAAACTAATGACTTACCGACTTTATTACAAAGTTCAAACCGGTGAACGAATCCAGTGAGAGTAAAGAGAGAACGAGACTAACTAAAACAGAGATTTATGACGCATTTTACACCCATTACTCTTCCAGTCTTACATGATTTAGTTCCCCATTTTATTTGCTTCTCATTTCGGTTCCTCATTTCTGCCAACAGGCTCGATCATTTGCATAAAGCGTTGTCACAGCAACGCAAATTATTGAAGCCAACTTATCAGAGCAAAAACTATTCACGGTAGATTGTAACGTGGCAGAGGTAGTAGTAAGCTCAACATGTGCGAGCTACAAGCAAGTCTCAAGTCTTTACAGTCTCAAACAAGTCCAAAGTTACTGTGGTGAGAATCAAGCAAGACACGTCCAGACATTGCTCTGATTAAACAAGTTACAGGTCTACATATAGTTTCCACATTTAAATCAGTTACAGACAGAGGTCAATAAAAGTTAATTTTTACTTTCAACATTAATTAAATGAATGAAATTGTTGCTTACACCTTAGAAATCTGACTAATATTTGACATTCTGTGGCAATGTATCTGTGACTGCAAGCCACTCACTGCTACGATTATTTTTATTAGTCTTATTACCTATTATCTTTACCTTCATGCTTTCACACGTGTTTAAATGTCAGCAAAACGCACAAAACTTGGTGGAGTGATGGGGCGCAGGCTGGAGGCCAACCCATTAAATTTTGGTGCGGATCTGGTTAAAGGAGTGGATCCAGGATTTTTTAAAATGACTTTCATCAATGTGTAGGATTGTTTGGCCATGGCAAAGGTATGTGCTCTACTGAGTGCCATACTAGTTATTACTATTACAATGCATCTCTATGTGGAACTTGCATTGTCCAATGTTCTTCCTGCAATCCAAATAGCTGGTTGGTAGGCATCATACAAGAAATCACCCAATCATGTTTCAAAAACAACATGTAATTCATCTAAAAAATACAAATATTAAAAAAAAGCCCTTTCAAGTCATCTGTCTAAGTCAAATCTAAGTCAAGTCGAATCTTTTATCACTTTGTCAAGCAAGTCTCAAGTCTCCAAATTTGTGACTTAACCTCTGCAACCAAGCAACACAAATGTTGCTCTGGAATTGAGAACTGGTCCATGAAACATTAAGAGGCATTAATTTCAGTTTATAAACCTTTTATAAAATGGTTCCAGATTTATATTCATACCATGGATTAAAGCTGTACAGCATTCTGCAAGAATAGAAGGCATCATTTGTTGGATAATTATTCATATTTATTTATCATAAGTCTGCAAAAAAAAGGTGAAAGTGATTTATGGAAATATCATCAGGTCATCACCATTGTACAAATGAATTCAATCCAGTGCAATGGCCCTTCATTGAATACAGTAAGCACTACCTATCTGAACTCTCATCACAAGGTCAATGTAGTAGCTGTTTTTGGAGCTTTTGATTGTATCACGGGCTTTGCTGAGAGGGTCAAAATGCACTTTTAATCTACTTTTCTGCTTATGATGTTCACTTTTTGTTGAGACTGTTAATGTATTGGATTCCACTGTACTGTTAGTCTCAGGTCTTATATTTTTGCCACCTGTATTCAACATAACTTGTGATGAACTTTCTAAAGTTATATACTGTACTCAAAAGCCTTAATCAATAACAGTTTCTCCCAGCTTTCAAATACTGTTACCAGAGGGCCTATGCAGGGAAACCACTGAATATGCTGCATGATTTCAGATAATTGACTAGATGAATGGCAAGTGGTAAAGAGTTGGTGTAATGAGGTTTCATTGATGAGATCTCTTGACATGAGATCTGAACATGTCAATGTCATGGTAATTCAGTTCATATAGTCTGAAGCACATCGACGCACAGGACGAGAGCTGCTCACTGTCACTCCAGTGATGGCTTAAAACTTCTTCCCTTTATGTAGTCTGTTGAAACGCCATATGTTTTCCTTCCTCAGACGCTTCCAGTATTCCCAGCTTTCTGGCTCCAGCTCCTGCAGATTTTTAGGCGCTCCCAGGTTCAACTCGAACAACCTGAGCAAATTATAAAAGAAGAGGAGAATCGGATCGTTGAAGACACATGAAATGCCCTTATTATCCAGAACATTTACATTACAATGGGTAGACAAAATAACAGGATAAAAGAAGTATGATCTTGAACTGCAGTCTCCCTATTACCATTATGGATGATTCAAAATCTGTCTGACTGTTATTTTGTCCACCCCAAGTACAGTATATATTCTTTCACTGTTATATATTATCAATCTAGAATACCTGCTTGTAACTGTTTCTGTTTGGAATTTCCTGCATGTGTGATTTCAAGAAATGCATATCAACTACTGAAACAACATGCTTGAACTATCTTCACCGTGTGGGTGGAGAGAGCAACAGTAATAGTAAGAGGGAGCATATGACGTCTGAAAATGTGCAGATCTAAGTAAATAAATGGTGCATATTAGGTGTAAAATGGGCAAAATACATGTGTAACTGTAAACCACAGAAAAACCAGCTAAAAACTGTTTTCTCAACAGATTTTTTTTTTTAAAGGAGGAAATGAAATTAGACAAACAGTTAGTTCTGAGTGCAAAAGAAAAAAACAATGTGGCTGAAACAGAAGAAATACATGCTCACCACTCTGGATATTCCTCAGGAGGCTTCAGTTTGGGGTCATCTCCTTGCTTGAAGATGTTTACTCCTACAGCATAAGAAGTAAGTCTGACAGGGTCTTTACACACTTCTGGACCTTTCAGCTCTTCCTTCACCATGCCTTTTTTTCCTTTGGTTGCTGGAAGACAGGGGAAAGAAGCAAGTGTCATCATGTGAACATCAATACAAGGATGTGTTCATTGAGATTGGCTCCAGATTGACTGCAAACAAACCTACCAGCGCTTTGTTAACCATAACAGAAATCTGTGGAGGAATATATTGACAAAATTGTATGTCTATTATATCACAACAGCTATTATCCACCTTTCTAAATTTATTTTTAATGGCACACACAGGGGTGTAAACAAACTTAATGTGTCAACTACATTTGACACATATGTTTCATCACCAGAGCCAATTTAAAACTGGAACTGAAGAACACGGAGATTTTGTAGTAATAGTATCCTGAATACAGATGTCCTCTTTACTCACCAACTTTCTTCGCATATCCACATGTCTGTATTCTGTTTAACATGTTCGTCCTGCAGAGCGCAGTACCACCGTTGGCTGTGATGCATTTTGTTAACGCTACTATCCTAAATAAACTGTATCCCAACATTTTTATTTTAGGTTACTTAAAATCGCAGTCCGTACCATACTAGTTTGACATTCACGGCTCTCTTTAATTTCCGCTTTCCGCTTTGTCTTTGGCTCTATGAAAATAATCTACTGCCCCCCGCTGGACGGGAAGACACACTACAAGACTGCTGATATAAGGTGGTCCGCTTGGGCCATTGGTCATTTCCCTTTAGTCCGACAGGTGGCACCACAAGTGTACCAGTGTCTGGTATTGTAATAATAAAACAGAAGAAGAGGGAGGATCAGAAGAAGAAAAACAAGAAGAAGAAGAAGTAGAGTGGGAGGAGTAAGCTTCTCGAAAATGTCGGAGTATGCCACAGTCCAGAAGAGTGCACTGAAAATAAAAGGCCTGGGAAACATTTCAGCAGGCAAAAAGTAAGTATTGTGGCATTTGGAAACATACTTTGACAAGCGACAAAAATATATAAAATACCTAGTCACGACTGATTAAAAAACCCTGGTATTCAGGCGAGGCTAATGTTAGCCTCTTGCCTTGCTAATAGAAAACTCGATGTTTCTTTAACGTTTACTAGGATTTTGTGAATACGATAAAGATTTATTTTGGCAAATACACTAGAAAAGAGCATTTTATTCTGGTAAATCACTGGTCCCATTTGTGATCTCAGCACCGTTCGCCGTAACATTATGAAGTGTCTAATAAACATTAGCTAGTTAGCATTAGCTCATCAAAAACAACAAACAACGTGTGATTAAGGAGATGAACTCGACCTCAACATGTCAAACTAATAGCGAAATATATACTATAAACATTGTCTAACACAGTCACTTTACACGACAAATGGTTAAACATAGAAACCTAGACACCACAAGTACGAAGGATATACACGAGCTTAATAAGACAAATGACAGGTTTGTCTGTGGACGTGTTTCTTTGTGGCTGGCACTGGATGGCTTGAGGCATGTACCAGGAAAAAAACAAAAACATTCCCAGGATATCTTTTCATTATCTGGCTTTATTTAAAGTAACATTGCCGTCCTGGATAATCTGTTATACGAAGCTCGTAATCAACTGGCTCAGTTAACCCTGGGTGTACATATCCGGCCACGAGCAAGTTAACGTGAAAGAGGCAGGGTTGTTCATTATAAGGAACACCGTCAGAACCATGAATTAAGTATTCAATATGATATGACAAGAAATGCTGAAACCTGCAGGTAAATTCGCTTGAAGCATGTACCCCAATAAGAAGTGAACCACCGTAGTAACCCTGAAAACCCAGGGTTAAATCTGAAGTTACCTCGCTAATCACAAATCCTACTTCGTAGTACAGGCCTCTGACAAGCCACTTAATCAACTAATTGTTATTACATGTCTTTTTTAGGAAGAAGAAGAAGGATAAAGAGAGTAAGCATCGCTTGGAGCAGGTCGTGACGAGTCAAAACGAGGAGGAGGTGAAAACCAAGAAAGCCTATGTTGACAAAAGGACACCGGCACAAATGGCCTTTGACAAGATGCAAGAGAAGAGAGTAAGTTATTGTTATTTACCAGACCCTTTTTCTATTCAAGGAACAAAGTTCATCATTTGAAATCTTTAGTGTTGCAGCATAATGTGTTGTAGAGCATAGACATGGTGAAGCACCAAAACATGAACACAGTGAACATTCTCTTCATTTAATGATCAACATGTGTACTGCTAAAAAACATGATGGGATGATGTTCAAAACTAAGACATACACCCTTCATGTTTTCGGTATATTTCCAGCTATAGAAGGCCATTGGTATTAGAACAATTTGATTGAATTATGGAAGTTTTAACATTTGATTTATTGCGAACAGGTGATAGTGTCTGTTGTCACTAGCAGTCACAAATGACAAGTTCAGGACCCATGTTTTCTTGTTGTCATTTAGAAGTATACTGGTAGTAATATGTTTGTGAAGGTGTTTATAGTGTGACTAAACTGACGGTGATAGTGTACATTTTTCAAGGCATTCATTTTGCCTCTGTCTCTCTTTTCTTACAGCAAATGGAGAGGATATTGAACAAAGCTTCAAAGACACACAAACACAGAGTTGAGGTAAGTTGTGTATCAGGCCTTGCAGAGCACCTTTCAATTTGGTTTAATTCAAACTTGTAAAGCAGCACAATCATTCAAGTAAATTAAGTTGGGTGATTGACATACTGTAGCTCTAAATGGTTGTTTTTTGTTAATCATTTTAAATGTGAAACATTTGTTTGTATCTTTTAGATGTTCCAAGTTGCACCAGAAATGCGCTCATATTTATTAACAGAGAAATGTGGGCAAAAATTAACGTATCTTCTGTTGTTTCATTTGTTTGCAGGATTTCAATCGCCACCTGGACACCCTGACGGAGCATTATGATATTCCCAAGGTCAGCTGGACCAAATAGAAGAGGAGCAAATGTTCACCATGTTATTTTATTTACTGCTTGTGCAAAAATCTCATTTTTTGAAATGTTTTCTATATATTTGAACAATTAGAATTTGTTCAACTGGCAACCATTTATTCTTTGGTTGTAATTCCTGGTGTATACAATAAAGGATTTGAGTAAACATAATTTATCTTTGTTTTCTTTTTCTTACATACTGTATATCCTTGATGATGTAATTAGACAAGTGTGTGTGTGTGTGTGTGTGTGTACACAATATAAATGTCAGAAAACCAGAATAAATTTGCTTTTTAATTAACATATAATTCATTGAACTGGAACGCTGCACAAATGGCACACATGCTGTAAACCAGAACACACTAGGTACAGTAGCCCATGTTAAATTATTTGGGATGGCACAGGGTGAATGTGTGAACAACCCTGAAGGTACCAACTAATATCTGAACAGAGTCAAAGTATTTCACAGGACTGACCAGCAAAACCAACAAGTTGGTTTACAAATTGACACAGTTTACTACAGAAAAAGTTGTATTGATGGTGAAACTTCTTACTGATGAGGTTAAGCAACAGGTGTATCCATTAACAACAATACACTGTTTGATAAAACAGACATTTAAGACATAAAGGTGTATGTGTGACAAACCTGGGTGAAGTAACATCCACAAATATGTGAGATATACTGTTGTGTTGATTTTCAACATTTTGACAATCTTTGCATCATGTGTTACAAATGTTTAGTAAGCTGAAGAAAACTGTAAAATTTAAATATCATTTGGCCCAGGTCTAATATGACATGAGAAAACTTTTTCCCCCACCATATTCAACTGGGGTTGAATAACACCAGTAAGAGGCTGCATCAAACAACAGCAAAGGATTCTCAAACTTTTTATTAAGAGGTAAGAGATGTTCAGGATTCAGAGCAAGTTTTGTTCGAACAGTTCTTATTTGATTTAACAGAAATACTATTTTCTCTCAATAGAAAATGTATTTTCTTTGCTTTGTAGTGTTTGTTGTGTTGTCAGAGTTCACTTTGGCCCCAGCATGTCACTTGGTTTCACCCACTGGTCAAACTGCTCCTCGGTCAGGTAGCCCAGCTCAACAGCCACAGCCTTCAGTGTAGAGCCTTTCTTATGAGCGGTCTTGGCGATGGTGGCTGCTTTGTCATAACCGATGTGTGGGTTGAGTGCAGTGACCAACATGAGAGACTCATTCATGAGCTTGTTGATTCTCTCTGTGTTGGCCTCGATGCCCACCACACAGTTGTTGGTGAAGGAGACGGACGCATCACCCAGTAGCCGTGCAGAGTTCAGGACGTTCTTGATCATCATAGGTTTGAAGACGTTGAGTTCAAAGTGCCCGTTGCTGCCTCCGATGGTGACCGCAACGTGGTTTCCCATCACCTGGGCTGCAACCATGGTCATGGCCTCACACTGGGTGGGGTTCACCTTGCCTGGCATGATGCTGCTTCCCGGCTCATTCTCTGGTAAGATGAGCTCCCCCAGGCCAGATCGGGGTCCTGATCCCAAGAAGCGAATGTCGTTGGCAATCTTCATCATGCTGACAGCCACTGTGTTCAGAGCTCCACTCAGCTCCACCAGGGCATCGTGGGCTGCCAGAGCTTCGAACTTGTTGGGAGCTGTCACAAATGGCAAGCCGGTGAGAGAAGAAACAGTGGAAGCTACTTTCTCAGCAAAGCCAATGCGGGTGTTGAGTCCTGTTCCTACAGCGGTGCCTCCTGCTGCCAGCTCATACACCCTGGGCATGGCGGACTTCACTCTCTCTATGCTGTACTTCACCTGCTGGACGTAACCGCCAAACTCCTGTCCAAGTGAGAGTGGCACAGCATCCTGAGTGTGTGTGCGCCCAATCTTAATGATGTCTTTGAACTCTTCAGCTTTAGCAGCCAGAGCATCATGCAGAGTCTGCAGGCCAGGCAGCAGGACATGGTGGACTTCTGTGGCTGCAGCAATGTGCATGGCAGTGGGGAAGGTGTCATTGGAGCTCTGACTCTTGTTGACATGGTCATTAGGGTGGACGGGATCTTTGGAGCCTAGTTTCCCTCCCATGATCTCAATAGCTCTGTTGCTGATCACCTCATTCACATTCATGTTGGACTGAGTTCCAGATCCAGTCTGCCACACCACCAGAGGGAAATGATCATCCAGTTTACCAGCTGAAACCTCATCTGCAGCCTGAATGATTGCATCTGCTATCTTTGGGTTGAGGCCGTACTCCTTGTTCACCTCAGCGGCCGCTCTCTTCAGGACACCAAAGGCCTTGATCACTTGGATTGGCATTCTCTCACTCGGTCCCCCAATCTTGAAGTTCATGGTAGATCTGACAGTCTGGGCACCGTAGTACTTGTCAGCTGGGACCTTGAGCTCACCGAACGTGTCCCGCTCAATCCTGAACTCTGAACCGGCCATTCTGGACGTACAGATGAGGAGTTTAGAGTTGACTCTGTGTCTTTGCAGAGTCAGGAGGTTGCAGTTAAACTGCTGGACGCGACTCAGAGACCGAAACATGGCTTCGCATTAGAGGTGAATCCGGTGGGAGGTCAATGCATCCTTCCACATTGTAATATGTCATTGGATGAATAGGAAACTGATCGCAAGTCAGCCAATAGGGAAGCACAAAAGGCGGGATTTCCGCTCCGGTTGTCGTATCGAATGGAAACGACCAGGCTGCTACATCCGGATCAGTGAAGCGTCTCACAACATTACACGACAGTATATCCGCTATGGCAAACAAGCTCAATTTGCTTTATAGAATAAAAGTCGGTAACGTTACATAATTTAGTCATTTTAAAATGCATACATTTGATTTATCCAACAAACAAAATGACAATTCTGACACGTGGACTTTCCACCGTATCACTGATCAATCAATGTGTACATGTGGGACTTGGACTGATGTTCAACATCCTGTGTGGGACTAAGATTAATTGACAGAAAATATTTGATTTCAATGCCAAGTTTTAGATTCATAAATGTAAGTGGTCACAAAGAAACCTAACATACACCTTTTTGAGCATAAGAAACCTATTAAGAAGTATCCACAAAATGTAGTTTCTTTTTTAGTTTCTATATGTATGTGTTTGTGTGTGTATTTATGTGTATGTATTCTTGTTAATTCTTCATATTTTTAGAGAATTTTGTTCAAAACAAATCAACTTTGAATATATATGGAAGTTGGAAGTTGACACCTTGACAATGATGAGACTGGCAGCTAACCCTAACCCTAACCCACCTACGAAAAGTTTACCCATTTCATTGTCTAATCAGCAAATAAGACATAATTTAAATTTAAGATTATTGAAATTGATTATTATTTGTATGGCCATTTGTTTTAGTTGTCTATGTCATGCCAGATGCACCTACGATTGACCGATCTTCCATTTCATTACAATATTTTGGTTCCGAGTATATCGACCTTTATTTTGAAGTATGAGAACAAGCCTTCACCGGAAGAATGTAGTGCGTTGTTGCTATCTTCCATACGCTATCTCTTCTCGCGGTAACGTTAGTACACTGTTAGCTTGCTAGCTAACCCCATCGTTTCCAGGTTTCGTGTCGACCTGAAAACAGCAAACGAAGAGAGACACAGAAACGCTACGCAGCTGAATATTCTTTAAATCCAAGCTGCACTAAGGAGCGGGACAATGCCACACAACTTCCAACCCGGAGACCTGGTCTTCGCTAAAATGAAGGGATACCCCCACTGGCCAGCCAGGGTAAGCAAGTAACGTTAACAGCAGCCGGAGGGGCGGAGGGGGTGGGCTGCTCTGCATGGGACGCAGTAGAAGGTTCTCTGTGTATCTTCGATTATGTCTGACATGGATACCTATCACACAGATACATAACTTAATCTTTACTGGGCTGAGGGGCTGCGTTAGAGGCCCGCAGCCAGTGCACCAGCAGCACAATTTGCATGAGATGCTGTCGGCCTCATCTATTTTTGAGACGTACAGCAGCAAAGCTAACGTTATTATTTTGGAAATGACGTTCTAGATAACCGCCTATTTTTTCCAGACAAGAATGTATCTTCCCCATGTTAAAACTTCTTTATTGTCCATTGTATATCCAAAAAATCCAAATAAGTTTAAATTAATTGATACTGTTTTGTTTTGTAGAGGTAACCAACATTAGTACATAGTACCACCATAGTCGAGTCCCAGGTCCACAGAAAATGTGTCAAATGTTGTTTGACACTTGTTTTTTGTTGTTGTTGTTTACAGATTGAAGATGTGGCTGATGGGGCAGTGAAACCACCTCCTAATAAAATCCCAATATTTTTCTTTGGAACACATGAAACGTGAGTACAACGCTATCGTCAGTCTCTTAAAGGTAAAGGTTAATTGCACTAGCAGAACTGTTAAAAGTTATGTGACTACAATTGATTTTCTTATCAGTCTGAAAGGAGGGGGATCAAATCACATTACTGGCTGAATTCCATTAACTGTAGAACATTTCCCTTTTTTGTGATGCATGGTTGAATTGGCAGTGCCAAATTTAAATTTAGGCCCTGACTCATCTATTTTTTAACCTGCTATCCTATGTGAGAACAATGGTGACGAAAACAAAAACTTCCTTTTGTGTTTTATCACTACTTTTGTGTCAGACCACTGCTTGTTAGTCTCCTTTTGTAAACTTTATTCTTTTCTGAAGGTTCACTGTTAACCATTGACTTGTGTGAGATTGAGTGTGCAGTATGTTTCCCAGAGATGTGTTGACATGTTTGATCCAGCATCAAACACCTTCTGTTTGACAAGATGGCACCTGCAGTATATTAATCCATCACTAGATGGCACAGTCAACTGTTCTAATGTCTCAAGTCAGTGTAAAACTTGGTTAACCACAGTGTAAAGTAAACAATCTTTTATTTTAAGACAACATTGGTTTGGTTTCAGTTAAATAAGTAAATTGTTCACATTTTCTTTATCTCTTTGTTTCACAGAGCATTCCTTGCACCAAAGGACCTTTTTGCCTATGAAAAGTACAGAGAACGCTACGGAAAGCCCAACAAAAGGAAGGGATTCAATGAAGGTTTATGGGAGATCCAGAACAATCCACATGCCTCCTACAGTGCCCCGCCTGTAGTAAGTCACCCTGATAATCTGAAGCATTCATAATTCTTCATTACCCCAAACGTAAAAAGATACTACTGATGTTGACTTAACTTAGGATGTCATACTGTGTCACCCACTTATTTTAGTTTTGGCTCAGACTCATTTGTTGTTTGTGATCCTAATTTCATTAAATTTTAGAAACCATGATATCTATTATTTTAGAATTCTGTGGCGACATCTCTGCTCAACAGTAACTTATGAGTTTCTTCCAATTAAAGTTTCATGTATGGTGCATAACTGTTTAACATGTTGAATAATCGCAACTTCACCCCGTTGTAATGCAAATTGTCAAGGAAGGGCGAAATGTCATAAAATATTCTTTAAAACACTGAAGGTGCAACAAAGAGACTGGATTTTTTGACAGGCATTGTAGACTGCATTTCATGTCAATTCAAAATTTGTGTTAATCATCTTTTTGTGGTTCATCTGCAGCCAGCCAGCTCATCTGACAGTGAAGGCAACAATGCTGGAGGAGGAAGTGATGAGGATGAGGATGAAGAGGTTGCAGTTCCTCAGAAAGCCGACTCAGGAAGTGAGGTTGACTCAGATTCTGGGAGTGAAGACCGTGGAAGGGGAGGCGGAGTGAAGCGAAAGCCCCCAGCTCCCAAGGTAGTTCAGAAATTCAGTTTCATTTATGATTAACTTCTGTGATCACAATATAACAGTGTTATTGATGTGAATAGAAAAAGAGGTTCTTGGTCATGGTTATCATAACAATTAGCAGTGCTTGGCTACTTATTGAGAATTTGTCTGCTTAAGTAAGAAAGGAAAAAGGATGCAAACAAAAAAAGACGACTAATTAGCTTCCTTTTTCAAATCAGGGGATGTCACAGCAATGATAAAAAGCATAATGAACCATGATTAATGGAACTCATCTACATGGTTTGAGTGCAAATTTTACAGATCAGGTTGTTTGGCTTTAACAATTGACTAGAATGACAAATAACTTTAATAATATAGTTGATTCAGTTTAGTTCTGTTGCTTGTTCTTTTTCTGTTTTAGCGGCCTCCTCCTCCAAAAAAGGCTCGAGGCTCGTCTAGTGACCGAGATGAAGAGGAGAGTGGATCCCCCTCTGAATCAGAACCCACACCTTCAGAATCTGACTCTGGAAAGAACAGTGACCAGGTAATTACACACACACACACACACACACACACACACACACACACACACACACACACAAAACATGGTATGATTTTGCGTGCTCTGAAATGAAACAAACAAAAACTAAAAATATTGCACATTTGTTTTTTCCAATAGGACTTTACTCCAGAGAAGAAAACTGGTGGAAGAGGTGGAAAGAAAACAGGAGGCAGAGGGAAGAAAAAGGTGAACCATTTGTCCCCTTATACAGTAAAAGAATTTTGAATATCTTATGTGATGGCAGTTTTTGAGTTCTTTGCACTATCTCCTCCTCTATCCCCTTTTCTCTGTGATGTTGCAGAAGGCTTCGTCTGACTCGGATTCAGACTCAGGATCAGGGTCAGAGAAGAAAGTAGTGGACAGCGACTCAGAGGATGAGAAACCTCGACCAGCTCTGTCTGGCTCAGAATCCCAGTCTGGCTCCAAGTCTGAATCAGACTCGGAGCCGCCTCCTCGGAAGGGCCCACAAGCACGCAAGAAAGGTGCAGTCTGATCTATTTATTTATCAATTAGAGCTTCATGCAAAGTTGTAGACATGTATGTTATTTGATATTGAAGGGGAGGTTTCATGCCCTTGTTTTTGCTCATGTAAATGTGCTTGTTTTTCTCTTCCACAGAGAAGCCTGCACCAAAGCCTCGTGCACGGAAACCCAAACCCACCCCGGCAAAACGAGCACCATCATCATCCTCCGACAGCGACAGGTCAGGTTGCCCTCAGGCTTCTTTTTATCCGCTCATGCACCACATATTAACACACTATTATGAATTCTAATGTGCATTTTTGCTTGGTGTAAAAGGTACCATAAAAGTTGCCCTGTGTTGTCTCAGTGATAGTGAACCTGACCGCATCAGTGAGTGGAAGAAACGAGATGAGGAACGCAGGCGAGAGCTAGAGGAGCGCCGGAAAAAGGAGGAGGCAGAGGAGCTCCGGCGGTTACGTGAGAGAGAGAAAGAGGAAGAGGAGAAAAAGAAAAAAGACAAAGATAAGGGTAAAAAAGGGAGCGACAGTGATAGCAGCAGTAGCTCAGACGAGGGTGTAGATGATCACCCATTGAAGAAGTCAAAGAAACCCCCTCCACCTCCGATCCCTGCACCCTCAGACTCTGACTCTCCACCACCAGCTGAGGTACAGTGGCTTACTGAAAATAAAAATAAGCACATGTTAATTATCTAAATTATGTGTTATATTTAGCTTTTTTTTTGCAAAGTAACAAGATAGCAGGTGATTCTTGGTGCTATTAACAAATGTAGCTTCTTCTCATGTAAAGGTGAAGAAACCCAAAAAGCCAGACAAC